CGGTCCTGTACCCAGTGTGCACAACGGAAGCCGCCGGCGAAGGGAGCCAGTCCACCGCTCCAGTCCATTTCGGTCACCCGGGTTAACGAGCTGGTCGTCCTTGATATTTTGGGACCGTTTCCTTCCACGCCGAGGGGTAATAAGTACCTGCTGGTTGGCGTGGAATATTTCACGCGATGGCCTATGGCTTGGCCCCTCGCCAACCAGTCCGCAGCGGCCGTTGCGGAGGCTTTTGTTCAGGGCTACGTCCTCGACAAAGGCGCTCCGGAACGGTTGTTGACCGATCAGGGAAAGAATTTCACTAGTACCCTTTTACACGAGGTATGTGGCCTTCTGGGTACAAAGAAAGTTCGTACCTCGCCTTACCATCCACAAACGGATGGGATGGTGGAACGCTTGCATAGGACTCTTACGTCCATGCTATCCCACCAGGTATCTGAGTCCCAAAACGATTGGGATCTACGGATCGGGGGAGTCCTGGCGGCATACAGGATGGCTCCTCACGCGGCGACCGGGTTCTCGCCATTTTTTTTGATGTATGGTCGCGAGGTTGACCCGCCTGTCGCGACTCAGCTGACGATTGCCGCGCCTCATGCTAAGTCGAAAATCGCCGACCATGTTAAATTTAACATCCTTCGCTTGGCGGAGGCACGGCAGGCGGCCATGCAAAACTCTGACTCTCGCCAGAAACAAAACGAGAGATTGCGGTCGCGCCGGACTCACACGCACGAATGGCACCCGGGCGACCGAGCATGGTTGCACTGCCCTCAGGTGCCATTGGCCACCTCGGCTAAGTTGTTGCGACCATGGAGGGGCCCCGTTGAAATTGTGCAGGTTGTGCGGCCTCAATGTGTGCGCATTAAGTGGGGGAAGCGTCGGTGGTTTGTGCACCCTTCACGGTTAAAGCCATTTTTTGCTCCGCACGCTTCCTCCCACGTAAATGGCCGAACATGTGGGGAGTCCTCTGACTCCGGGGGGGCGGGATCGATGCCAGCCTCTGATCCACTAATGACTGTCCCGTCTTCAGGAGCCCCAGGACTGAAGCCCTCTGGGCTGCCAGCCTCCCCCGTGGGGGGCGGCGCTGGCACGTCCGGGAAACCGGACGACCAGGCACCTGCTGATGCGACACCTGCCACTGACTCTACCAAGCCGGCCCCTTGTGACGGGCCCGCTGCACGGACTCGCGCCAAAACGCGCCGGTTGTTATGATTAGCTTTCCGCGCGTGTTCCGTTGCTGCGGAACCCGCTCATTGTATATATGTTTTTTTAATGGTTGTATGTGTGTGTAATAACGATGACCACGCTATCTGCTTGTTGCTTGCTGTCCATGTAAGTGTGTGCGTGTGTTGGGAATGGACGGAGAGTCTGCTGTGGTTGCTGAGTTTCAAAGGGAGTGTGTGCGCTGCTGCGTGGAGTTGTTATCTTGATGGTAAAGTTAATTATTAACGTGGGAGCGTCGGGTATCCTGTGCTGTACCATCTCGTGGGTCACCGTGCGCGATGGGCTTAATTGAAAAAAAAAATGTTTTTTTTGGGCTGTATTATGCTGCGAGGTGCTGTGTGCGATGCGGTCGTTGCATGAGAGGGAATAACTGTGTTGTGGTTGAAAAGTTACGACGGGATTGATGGTGTGTTGGTCGCCTGCAGATTTGCTTGCTATTGTGCTTCAATGTACGCGTGTGATCGCGATATGCTGATTGCATGTGCTGTTATACCGTTCTGTATATGTGTTGCGGTTCCGGGTGGGGGGTTTTTTTTTTTTTTTAGGGAACCATCGGTTGATGTTACGCTTGTTCTTGTTACTGTTACGAGGCACACGTGTATTGACGGTGTTAATCTTTATTCTTGGGGGTTGAGGGATTGTTGCAGCCGGGACGGCTGCGAGCTGTACAGGGGGGGGTGATGTAGGGGTTATTACGGGAGAAACGGCGGACAACAAACACAGGGCTGTCGGCACTCACATACACGGGGGGTCACACCGACGTCCGCATCAGTTATTGCCCACGCCCCCAGCCCTCGGAGGCGATCCCTATAAAAGGTGGAACCCAAAGAGCTCGAGGCAGTTCGACACGAAGCTGACCAGTGAAGATCCAAGACTCGGAGATTAGGCCCTGGGACTCCCCGGTCTCGCCGTCCTTATAAGGGCCGAGCCGGGTAAGCCAGTGGCGCGGCCCAAGAGCTTCCAGACCGCTGCCCTTATCAGGGCAAGGCTGGTTAGCTGGTGCCGAGATCTGTGCTTGCCAGGGCCAGATCAGTCAGCCTCCCGTAGCCCAGTAGAGGAGGACTGGGGGACAGGACAGAGGGCTTAGTACTAGGGTGGGTTTCCCATAGTACGGGTGAAGGGGCCGATACCCCTTCAACTATTGTATCTGTCCCGGAGTTAATAAACAGTGTGTCTCAACTTCCTCATCGTCTCCTCATCAACTTACTACATCTGTATGCATGTGTGTATGTATGTGTGTGTATGTGTTTTTGTGTATGTCTGTGTGTGTATGTATGTCGGTTTTGCCGCCGTGGTGGATCCAAGTCCCGGGCGAAGCCGGGTCATGTGTATGTGTTTATGTGTATGTCTGTGTGTCTGTATGCATGTGTGTATGTATGTGTGTGTATGTGTTTGTGTGTATGTATGTGTGTGTGTATGTATGTGCGTTTTTTTGTATGTGTTTATGTGTATGTCTGCGTGTCTGTATGTATGTCTGTGGATGTGTTTGTGTGTATGTATGTGTGTGTCTATGTATTGTGTGTATGTGTTTCTGTGTATGTATCTGCGTGTATGTATGTGTGTTATGTGTCTGTCTGTGTGTCTGCATGTATGTGTGTGTGTATTGTCTATGTTTTTGTGTGTATGTATGTGTGTGTTTGTGTGTATGTGTATGTCTGTGTGTATGTATGTGTGTGTATGTGTTTGTGTGTATGTGTGTGTATGTATGTGTGTGTATGTGTTTGTATGTGTTTGTATGTTTACGCTCGCATTACACAAATGTGTTGCAGGTCTAAGGCGTTCCTCGCCCAGCATTGCCGCTTTCTTTTTTCAGTCGTTTACTGCCGTACGCACCCTGAAAGTCGTGTGTGTCTGCAGCAAGCGCGTGTATGTGTACCTATGGATGCGCGCGCGTGTGTTGTGTAGGGGGAACGGTAGTGTAGTGCTTAGCGTGCTGTCTGTGTCTGTGTGTGTGTGTCTGTGTGTGTGTGTCTGTGTGTGTGCGTGTGTGGTGTGTGGGGAGCGGTAGTGTAGTGGTTAGCGTGCTGTCTGTGTGTCTGTGTGTGTGTGTCTGTCTGTGTGTGTCTGCGTGTGTCTGTGTGTGTGTCTGTGCGTGTGTGGTGTGTGAGGAGCGGTGGGTGTAGTGGTTAACGCTACGCTGCGCTACAAACCCGGCGAACCGAGTTCCATTCCCGCTCACGGCCACCACCGGTGACGATTATTTGAACCTCCCCTAGGTCGACTCAGCCTCAAACGAGTAACTGGTGTGGCGTATTAACATCGCCACTGGGGAGACAAAGGCGGCCGTGCGTGAGTGGTGAGGGAGGGAGAGTCGTGAGGGAGGGAGAGTGCTGAGGGAGGGAGAGTGGTAAGGGAGGGAGAGTGGTGAGGGAGGGAGAGTGGTAAGGGAGGGAGAGTGGTGAGGGAGGGACTCAGCCGCAAAACGAGTAACTGGTGTGGCGTATTAACATCGCCACTGGGGAGACAAAGGCGGCCGGGCGTGGTGGATACAAGTCCCGGGCGAAGCCGGGTAGTACAGCTAGTTTCGATTTAAAGCTTTCGTGACTGCAGGGATTCATATTCTTGGGTTTTCTGTAAAGAGAATGGAAATAATAAAATAATTAAAATTAACCAATTAAATTCTCACGTTTCGATTGCAACACAATCAATCATCATCAGGTGTGAAAACCGCCACTTTTTTCAAAAAAATTCTTGCTGTGGTTTTCACACCTGATGATGATTGCTTGTGTTGCAATCGAAACATCGTGATAATTTATTTTATTTTATTATTTCCCTTCTACGTGACTTTACCGAAAGAACCAATAATACAATGGGGCAATGTTCAGAAAATCCCTCCACCTGTCCAGCTTGTGGATGGGCAGATCGCATGCAGTGGGGCAAAGCGTGGGTATTTCCCCCTCTAGTGGAGGCCCTTCCTTCTGCCAGCGGTGGCTTGGGCAAGCCATTGCAGGGCTGCGCCTTTACCCAATGCCCTAGACGAGTCGGTCCTTAGAACTGATTTTTTGTGTTTGGTTCGTTGTCCACTCCGCTCCAACTCTGATGAGCAGGCTTGGCTACGTACGGTGGGAAAGACGTTCACTCGAACATACAGACACTTTACCCCCCAACCCCTTATCAGTTGCCAAAGCTCGAGGTTGAACCTGGAGTGAAATAGTGTGAGCACTGCACGAGATTTAAAATTTAAAAAATATTATATTTACAGTATAAGCAAAGGTTTGTGATTTTAAAAAAAATACACTGGCTGTTAGAAATAGAATGGAGTAAAACAGACATCTTTTCAGTTGAATGAGCTAATAAACATTAAAAAAAATTAAGCTTTCGTGACTGCAGGGATTCATATTCTTGGTTCTTTCGGTAAAGTCACGTAAAAGGGAAATAAAAAATATATAAAACGTCGTGAGAATTTGATAGTTTTATTTTTATTATTTTATTATTTCCTTTCTACGTGACTTTACCGAAAGAACGAAGAATACTAATAAACATTAAGCACAAATTTATGTTTGGAGTGATAACCTCTGATCTGGCACCAGGGATTGTAGGACTGCTCCAAATGAGTGAACGGGGGGGGGGGTTCCCTATTATATTTGTAATTATTCACCAACACACACTTACTAATGTATCGATCTACTTAACCACACGATTATACAGACATATCTACACGAAACTGTGTAACAATTATGCACGTTACGTTATTGTTTCATAACTATATTAACCCTCACCAGCCTACCTCACCCCCCCTAATTGATCCTCCTGATGGTATCGCCCTCATTACCTCCTGAGATGCCCATTACATTGTAGGGGGAATTCACTTTAAAGTTCACGTGAACCTCAACTATCTCGAGTCCATCAGCCTGCTACGAACTTTCATTCGTCGAAGCAGGTAACCTCTGTAAGTTGGGTTTCAACTTGCGGAATCTTTTCATTGTCCCGGAGAAACCCGATGAGCTGAAAAGCGCTTTATTTATTTACAGCCGTCCATTCTGGGTCTCGAAAACAGTCGAGATTTGTTAAACAAATGCTGTTGGATTGCACCAATTGTTATTGTTGTTGTTATTATTGACAAGGGCACTGCATCTAAACTATGCCACCCCCTTCCCCCCACGTTGCTGGCAGCGGTGCAACAACAGCCGACGTTTCGGGAAACAGCGCCACTTAAATAGCACACGAAGGAGGAGGAGGATATCTTCCGAATAGCTGCTCTTCATTGACCCGGCGATGTTGAGAGGGTCATTGTCCGAAACGTCGCCCCCGCCACCCACGACCCGCACGGGATCCGGGTTCAACGTCTCCAATTGGCGGCGCGAACCGGACGCGGTTCGGCGCGTTGTTTGAATGTTGGCAGCTGCTGGCGGCAGTCCGCGCGTTGTTTATCGCGTCTCTTGTTTGTTGTTTATCGCGTCTTGTTTGTTTGTTTGTCTATCGGCCCTCGTGTCTCGGCTTAGTCGCCAGCGTCCTGCCCGGCGATGTCGGCTCGCTGGGCCGCGAAGCGAGAACGCGGCGACGCGGACGACGCCGCCGGGGCTGTGGGAGGCGCGGGGCCACCAGTGGAGACGAAGCGAAGACGCGGGGCCTCCTCCACCACCACCACCAACTCCACCACCACCACCACCAACTCCACCACCACCTCCACCAACTCCACCACCTCCACCACCCGCTCCTCCTCCACCACCCGCTCCTCCATGTCGTCTTGCGGCCTCGCAGCTGCCGGGGTAGCTCACACTCGCCCCCTCCCCCACCCTCCCCACCTTCCCCCCCATCATCATCTCCATCATCTCCAACGTCATCCCATTATCATCATCTCCAACGTCATTCCATCATCATCATTCCATCATCGTCATCCCATTATCATCATCTCCATCCCATCATCATCTCCGTCATCATCCCCATCATCCTCCCATCATCTTCTCCATCATCCCCATCGGCATCCCATTATCATCTCATCATCATCCCATTATCATCATCATCATCTCCATCCCATCGGCATCCCATCATCATCATCCCATTAGCATCATCCCATCATCTCCATCGTCACCCCGTCAATCATCCCATCATCATTCATCATCCCATCATCAATCATCATCCCATCATCATCTCATCATCAGCATCTCATCATGATCCCAACATCATTCTCCACGTTCCCCATTGCTGTTCGCGTTTTTGTTATTCGCCTGTTGCCGGATCCGTAACTCCTAATGCACGGAGCGTTGTAGACGAAACCAACAGTAACGAATCTTAAACACGTGGACTCATCTCCATACCTGTCAACCCATACGATTTACCCCGTAATCTTGTACAGAGAAATTGGGTTTTCAGTTCCATAAGGCGTGCAGCCGTTTCAATACGAGCAAAGAAAAAAAAGCTATAGTTTTTTTGTCTATTTGTGTTTCTCCCTTGTGATGGGACTTTATAGGATGAACGTTGATATTTATAAGGGCACGGGTTGTCCAATAAGGTCTGAATTGTTCTGTAATAAGGTAGGCAACTGATGAGGGGTTGGGAGGTATGCATCTGTATGAACTTTTTTCCCACCGTACGTAGCCAAGCCCGCTAATTGGAGGTGCTTCGCAGGGGGACAACAAACTAAACACATCAAAATCAGTTCTAAGGACCGACTCGTCTAGGGCTTACATAGCACGCGTTTGAGTGGCGCGTTGACAATGCATTGGGTAAAGGTGCAGCCCTGCAATGGCTTGCCCAGGCCACCGCTGGCAGAAGGGCCTCCACTCGAGGGGAAAATACCCACGCTTTGCCCCACCGCATGCGATCTGCCCATCCACAAGCTGGACAGGCGGAGGGATTTTCTGAACATTGCCCCATTGTTTCAGCCATTGCCCCGTGGGATTGAACAGAGCCGTCGACCTCTGTTGAAAGTTCAATTATTGTGCTTAACCTTTACTGCAGCCTTGCACTCCTTTGGATCTCAATCGTGAAACACATGTATAATGTTAATACGTAGAAAGCCGTCCCTTGGTGTGGACCAATCAGTTTCAAGGACAATGCATATATTATCATAGTATGTTTTTTGTTTACATTTTGACTGCAAGTATTGTGGTTAATACAGACATGAATCCTTGTAAAAAGGTTTCAGTTTTGTAGCCAGAAAAAAGGGGAAAACCCTATTATTAACATACATAGGGTTTGATGAAACAAAGTAGTTGTACTTACGTGCCCGTACTTAATTTTTGTTTCAATTATTAACTTTCTAAAATATGTGGCCACGTCTCGCACCTCCAGAAAGGTCATCTCACACCCCCATGGGGTTTGTGCATCCCAGGTTAAGAGCCACTGCATTATACCATGGCCGCGATCCTCACGTGTTAATAATCAAGGATGAAGTCCAAAGTCAAAAGGTCTTTATCTAGCAGGCAGTTTGCTCGATAAATGAGAGAGAAATACTTTTAAAATCACGGTCAGCGAATCGGTGACCTCCACTGCTTGGCGTATTAAACAGAATGGCTATGACTTAGAATCAATGTTTCTGCATCCTTGAGTACTATGAACTATACAAGTATTTTTTAAATTACTAGGTAAGGCCCACTGAGCGATATATTGCTCTTTTTTCAGAAGCGACCTGCCCACAAATTATAGCTCAACAACTTATAGCTCAACAAAGGGTGCAAAATTATAGCAGCCTAAAATACTCTAAACGCACGTTGATTTTACAATTCAAATCTCTACTTGAAAAAAATAATTAGGGTATGACTGCTTGTGTAACTTCACTCGTTGCTCGAGTCGCCCTCTTTCCACCCACAGTCCAAAACAAACAACGATTTGGGATTGGCAATGTAACACCCAACATGTGATCCTGTTTAGCCAGTTGCTGGGCTAATTTACAAGGGAATATATTTGGTGTGTGGACACAGCAGCAGCGGCAACAAGAACAGAGGACAATAAGTAATATTTTTAAAAACTTTTTAAAAAACACGCTTTAATAAAATGTACCGTACTCGTAATAGAAGAACTCCACGACTCCAGGAAATGGCCCCGAAGCTTGCCATAACTTAAGCGACCGTGGTGATTTACAGCCAACGTCAGTTGAGCTTGGACAATTAGACCCAAGCCGAAACATAACATATCAAAAATAATGTTTAAAAAAATATATATATTATTTTTAATGATAGAATATAGTATTGTCATCAGTATGACATAAGTATACCAAGTTTGCAGTCCATACCACATTGGGAAGTGGGTAATAATTGAGTTACAAGAGTTGAGGATACAACAACAGACAGAGTGAGTTAATAAAAAGCGCGTAATAATAAAAACTTCAATATTGCAGAGAACAGGGTCGTTAAGGAATATTGCACAACTAACGAGGTAATTAGCAGTCATTAACGAAACGCGCGCTAGCATACGTTCTATAATTCAGGTTGAGTATTACACATGTCCTGTACTCATTGGGTATCGTTTTCCATCAATGGGTCGTTTTCCACTTCGCCTTTAACGCCCTCTAAATCGTGTTCTTCCGAGGAACATAACGGCGCTAGGCACACTGGGGAAAAAACATTAACGTCCACATTATCGGTGGTCGAAGGGCGCATGCACATCGTGAATACGCTCGCACAGGGGGATGGACAATCTAGCATAGGGCGTTGCAGCCATGTCACGTGCTGCCAAATACCCGACGGCCACGTTAACAGCTAGGCTCAACAATAACAATACATGATAATAGGGTTTTCCCCTTTTTTCTGGTAACTAAACTGGTGTTAAGATGTTTAAACACCAAACTGAAACCTTTTACAAGGAATCATGTCTGCATTAACCACAATGCTTGTGGTTAGAATGCAAACAAAAAACATACTCTGATAATATATGCATTGTCCTTGAAACTGATGTACTCAGTACATAAAATTTGTGATCTGATCCCATCTGTGAAGGATGTGATCCCTGACATGCAATACCCCGGCGTCTACAAACTAAGCTGTGTCTGCAGCAGTAGTTACATTGGGGAAACTAAGCGACATGTCTCGGACTGTGTTCGTGAACATAAGGCAGATCTGAAACACGGTAGGACTAATACCTCAGCCGTGGCTGATCATTGTTTTAATGCGGTGGGCTCACACGAAATAGATTTTTCTAAGACGAAGGTACTCTGCAAACCCACTGGCTATCAGCAAAGATTAGTTCATGAAGCCATCCAGATATATAAACACAGACACAATTTCAACCGAGAAGATGGGTACAAACTAAGCAATAATTGGAAGAACGTCATTAACCAGGTTAAGTCATAACTGGCTGTGATGTGTAGTAGTTATTTTCGACTCTCTGGTGTTACATTAACAGGTTAAATGTCTCACTAACACAGCCACCGTTGCTCGTTTTCCTTGACGTGGCGGTGGCTCTACGCTCTTACATGGACATGCTAATCTCTCACAATACAAGGGCCACGTCCGCAGTTTTGTCATCGTGGAGGTAGCTCAGCTCTCCGATCTTACATTTACATGCAAATTTCTTCACTAGCCCCGCCCACTTCGCTTGTGACCCTTGGGCTACACCCATCTCAAACTTTTATAACAGGGGTCTCCAAACCCCGGGCCACGGACCGGTACCGGTCCGTGGCTTGTTTGGAATCGGGCCGCACAGCAGGAGGTGAGAGCGATGAGTCCGCGCGTGGCCCGTCCCAATTATTTTATTATTTACCACTTCCGTCCGCGCCTCTTTCCCGCACTGTGCACTTGTCTCAGTCACAGTTTTGGTAAGCCCACAAGCTCTAACCCCTAATAGCCAAAATGAGTCAAAAACAAACGTCGCTGGAGAGCTTCTTTGAAAAGGGGGAAAGACCCAATGATGACCCCCCCCCCCCCCCCCGGTCCGTGAAAAAATTGTCTTCCACGAAACCGGTCCCTGGTGCCAAAAAGGTTGTGGACCGCTGACTTATAACATCCTGCCTCAGCAGCTCTCTTGCTATTTTGTCACCTGATGACGATCGCTTGGGTTGCAATCGAAACGTCGTGATATTTTTCTTATTTTTTCTATCTACGTGGCTTTACCAAAAGACCCAAATAATATTAGTAACATTGCAGACCTCTGCAGCCTGTAACATGAATGTTTCTTTACACTCTAATTAGACCTGTTAATTACTATGTCTATTCAGCAGTCTCATCAATCATACTCATTTCCCCGTGTAGACCAAACATTAAATCCACCCATGTAAACTACACTTGCACACATATTAATGTCCTTCATATTCTCACGCATGTTAATGACACCACTTGTTTTGATTTCGCCTATGTTAATCAGTACTATAATTTTTAGACGTACATTAACGACGCTGAGATTAATCACGCCTGTTTAAACAACAGTCACATTAACGCCTAATATTAGCAATACCGTACGTCGTATATTTAAACTAACTACACATTCATCACTTAATGACAGTGGTGTTAACCACCCTCCTATTTACAACTCTTTACATTATACCGTACATGTAACCACAGTCCTATATTCCACACCCAGTAATCACACATTGATTAAACTCCCATTAAACATATGTAACACAATCAAGACACTTGTCACACAGATTAAAACGATAGTTACACTAATATTTTCCAGAACGTAATATGAATGTAGGAAAATAAATGATTGCATCATCTCATAAAATATCATTTTATATGAATTTACACTACACAAAGTGTTTACGTATGGTGTAACCGCCATGCATGTAAAATACCACAATACAATAATGCGACTCGCATATATGCTCTTAAATTCACGTGACGTTATTCTATTGTGATCTTCGCAAGCGCATTACAACGTTACAGTAGACTGTGATCGGGGGTTTGGTGTTGCAATTCCATGTGCTTCCTTCTCTGGCTCCACAGAAATACGTGCAACAACTCCGGGAGCAGCTGAGCCGAGAGGAGCGCGTGCACGAGGGCGTGTGCCGCCTGCTGTCGGCTTGCACGCAGCGCGAGCAGACGCTGCACGCTGCCCAGGCGCTGTTGGCGTGCAACGCGCGCATCCAGGTCTTCGGCGAGAAACTGCGCAAGGCGCAGGGTGCCGAGCTTGTCCGACGCGCGTCTCTCAGGTAACGGCCGTAACAGACCGCTAGTGAAGTTGCTTCAGGATTTACACCATTGGAACCTCATTTGCCAGTAGCAAAATATGATAATTGGTCTTTTACCCTTTTATCTGACAACAAAACTGACACCTTTTTTACAAGGAGTCATGTTTGCATAGACTGCTGCAGGTATTGCAGTCTATGCAAACATGACTCCTTGTAAAAAAGGTGTCAGTTTTGTTGTCAGATAAAAGGGTAAAAAAACAAATATCTTGCTTCAGGTTGTGGAGGTTGCCTCAGTTGGGAGTGCTGGAGTCGGTGCTGCTGGATGTCCTGGGGTTTGAGTCTTAGGTACCAAATGGAACAAACGGAAGTGCGCCCAATTGGCTAAATGCCTGCGTTAGAGCGGTCTTCTTCGTCGAGTCTCCTGTCCAACCTACGTGGTTTTTTCCCAGTATTCTGCACAGCACACCGCTTTTAGTGTTGGCATTGTCAAATTTTGAGGAGTGCATTGTGGTGCTGCATGGCATCTCAGAAGATGATCCGTGGTGTGCTTCTCCTGACACCACTGAGATCCTGCGCTTGATTCTGGAAAGCCACCTCTGATTAATCCTGATTACTAAATTATAGGGAGTTGATTGTTGTCTTCTTTGGGTTGTAACTACCAATAATACATGATGGATGGAATGTATGAACATGATGTGCCAGGCTAATGGCTGGTATCAAAGGTGAGCATGGATGTTTGTGTTCCCTCTAGTGCTGCAGATGATGATAACAAGGAGCGGTCAACTTGCAAGGCCAAAGTCTGTCTCTCAGGTTAAAATGCACATGTACTCTAATTTCGAATGGTAAATAGACTAAACATTTCATGAAGCATTCTTAGCAGGTACCAGAAAAAACCTAGAAAACTCTGTGCAAGGACTGCAAATAAATATGCTTTACTGAACATACATTGAAAATACTTTTACGTCGCGAAGTGCTCTACAGAGCTCCGATTAGCCCCTCCGATTATCATGGTTAGCTACGTACGGTGCGAAAGAAGTTCTACATGAATTTCGATTTAAAGCTTTCATGACTACAGGAATTCATATTATTGGTTATTTCGGTAAAGTCACGTAGAAGGGAAATGATAAAATAAATAAAATTAAACAATAAAATAAAATTCTCACGACGTTTCGGCCTCAATGCTAGAGGACGGCTGCTTGCGTTGTGGCCGAAACGTCGTGAGAATTTTATTTTATTTTGTTAAATTTTTATTATTTTATTATTTCCCTTCTATGTGACTTTACCGAAAGAACCAAGAATTAGTTCTACATACATGCATACATAGCTAAAAACAGAAATAAAATGTAAACAAATAAAAAATAATAAAAGCCCACAAACTAGTAACAGGAACACCTCACCAAAGAAACTAAACAACATGAATTAAAGATGCATATATGACGGAGTAATAAAGCCTTTAAGAACTGATGTGTCTCAAGCCGAGAGACTCAGCGGACAATATTTAGCGGAAGACAATTGATGTACCCATTTTGTATAACCTAGATTTAACACGGTTTTGTTGTACATTGATAACAGGGCTGAGTAATATTTGTCTGACTTTAGTTTGCAGTTAAAGATGCTTAATGTGTGGGAATGACAGATGTATAAACAACAGCCACTTCAATACATGGATATAACGTTGGACTCTGCTCACGCAGCGCGCTAACAGTGCCTCTCTCTTTCACAGACATTCGAATCCCACTCATGTGGAAGGACACGGATCATTTTCAGAACAAAGGAGGTTGGTAAACACATGCTTTTTGTGTTTAGTTTGTTGTCCTTCCCCTGCACCTATGATTCGGACAGTTTGCTACGTACGGTGCGAAAGAGGTTTAAAATCCATTTATACATATACACCAGCGTCATTTTTTTAAAACCATTAGTTATTAATAATTGTTATCTATCATATAATTGTATGCAAGTGCTGGTATTTTAAGTGGACAACATATGAAGTATTTTAAGGCAATGTTTAACAACTGAATGGATGCTTTGAGGCGATTAAGCATGAGAGGAGATGCGTTGTTTAGAGGTGTCAAGATCTGTTCCCTTCTCTATACGCTTGCTTTCAGAATTCCACAGATATGCTGTGTTCTGCCTGCTGAAGATGGACACGGAGGTTTTCGACACAAAGATGATCACCGTGGATCGCACAGTCACTGACGTCTTGTTCGACAGCGTGGCTGTGTTGTAAGTGTCCAGGCAGATTGCACTTTCTTTTGAACGTTTGTGCAGCAAAGTCAACTTGACGTCGGTCACCAAAGTTTGTAAGCTACAGGAAAAAGGTGTCCCTCCCAGTCATGTCATGAGTAAAGCAGGAAAATACCATTGTATTCCTCAAATTAAGAAACAAGATGCATGTTTCTTAGAGAAGATGAGAAATATATTTGCATTTAAATGTATTATGTATTGCATGATTTGGTAGTGAAGATTTGAAAAAATCTGTTCTTTTTTAATTCCAATAATTGTGGCTCCTACGGCAACCATGCAGTGGTTTACATTTTATGGATTAAATATATGCCTGACTTAGATTTGAACTTGCAATCTTCCAATTGTGTGAGTACTGTGTCAACAGTTTTAATAGATAATATTGACGTTTAATAATAGAGTTTTCCCCCTTTTTTTCTGGCAACAAAATTGAAACCTTTTTACAAGGAATCATGTGTGCATTAACCACAATACTTGTGGTCAAAATGCAAACAAAAAACACACTGAAAATATATGCATTGTCCTTGAAACTGATTGGTCCACACCAGAGACGTAACATGCAATTTAACCTTTAAAAAATAGTTGAAGTACTCCATTGCTAAGCACCTGTATCCCGCATCATAAAGCTTTCCAAATCCTATGTGTACGGTCACTCTTGCAAACCATGATGACATCTTTTATAGAACACTGCAAGATGAGAAATCTAAAGGCTAGTTGATAATCTCTTAAATACAATGGCTGCATAAACTAATTCGTTCAAATGTAAGTAACATTTTGTTGAACTCATAAGAAACTCGTATCTTTGTGGTGGTGGTGGTGGCGGTGATGGCAGCCCTGCTACGGAGCCGGGCTTTGAGTTGCAGCTGGAGGTGTACAGCTGCTGCCTGCTGGAGGACCTCTCCATGGCGAGCACCCCGCGCCGTCTCGCCAGCCGCCTCAGCTCCTCCGTGGGGCGTTCCACGGGCCAGCGCGTGCTGCGACAGCGCTCCCTGAGCGACTTGTCGAAGCCCGCTCCCCGTCAACCTCCAGTCAGGTGGCCCCACCGACTCCTACAGTAGCCTCGGGAATACAGAGCAAGGCTGACACGGTGGCGAGATGTTAAATACCTCTCCTGGTATACGGGAGGTTGTGGGTTCGTTCTTGACCCTGCTATACATTTCCACGTGATAAGCCACTTCGTTCAGCGATCATTTGTGGCCAGGTCGCTTCTGAAAAAGAGCTATACGGCTCAGTCGACCTTACCGGGTAAAATAAAAAATAGTTTCAGTTTTAACACGTACACCAGTGTTATTCACTAATGTTCAGAAGGCGGCCACTTTCGCTGATAAGACATCAGTGTGCGGGCCGCCACACATTTGAAACCATTGAGGTTTGACAGCATGGTGATGGTGGGGGGGGGGTGTTTTCTCATTTGTGTATTGTCGGGGGTGGCCGCACGTCGGGGGCCGCACTAAAGGCCACCAAAGGCCACCAGAGGCCACCAGAGGCCACCAGTGGCCCGCAGGCCTTAAAATGAAGAATGCTGATGTACATGTTTTTCAGCACAGTTTGCTTGAACCTAGTTTGCTGTGTGTGTTGTTGTCACCGACCACATGATGATTGATTTGGTGATGTGTTTGTTAATTTGAGTCTCGTGTGATTAAATGCACTTCTAAAACATTTCCAGTACCCGATGTGCTTCGTATATTAATATTTACCAATCGGAATGTGTACCAAAGCTGGATAATCTGTAAATTTGCTGAAATGTAACAATGAACGTGCCTAGGAATGTTTCTACAGTAGCGTAACCTTGAAAGTCACTTTTAAAAGTGGCTGAAGACGAACTAGCACATTTTACTGCTCTTAACTTCAATATACTGCTAAGATAAGGGCTTTTATAGAGTACTTGTTAAGCCTAGCATTGCATATGAGGGTTTGGTATAGCATTGAAGAAGTCAGGGGTATGATTTTTGTGCGTGTTAACCTTTGTAATATATGAACAAACTGTTGCTTAAATATGTATATGCATTGTTTCTGAAACATATATAACAATTGCCTGTGGTACATTTTTATATATATTCATAGAGCGCCTAAGTTCCACTTGCTGGCTCAGTGTGGCATTGACGCTGGAGCATGTTTATGATGGCTTCCGGACTCACGACCTCACGATCACGGGCAAAGGTTGGTTGCGGGTTGGCATAGTTTTAATGGCTTGACATTGGGACAGATGTCTAGTTCCATCGGCTTTCAATACAGTATTAATCATAGCTTTCATCCCGAAAAGCCTTGGTGAGTCTCAAGATCTTTTTTTTCAGGAGGATATTGCTCACTATGTTTGACTATTAACATGTGGAAGTGAGTTCCCAGAGAAAGCTCATCAATGCAAGGGGGGAACATTCACAGTCTGTGTAGGTAGGTCTAGGCATATTGTCCCGAACAGCATTGCCTATGAACTACACAGTAGGCATGTAACAGTGCATTGATGTGTTGAATAATATCTATTGTTATGCTCATGGTACACGCATTGAACAAATCTAAACAGACTTTGACTCTTTAACAACTTTTATTGCCGCCAGCAGCAACAGCACTGGAGGCGATTTCTATTCGAAATACACAGTCACCAGCAAACAAATGAAATATAAACGCTACAAATCCACGCGCTGTGGCGCTGCACGCACCGCGCACAACACGAAAGAAAAAGTCACGTGGCTGTGGCGGTCATCGCGCACGCCACGGTGACGAGCGAGAAATAATACAAACCAGTTGGTTAAAATTTGACAAAAAAGCATTCTTTAAATTTAAAAGTGACTCCTAATTGTGGAAATTCACCGTTTAATTACTGTGGTGAATCATTTCATGCTTACTAAAGACACACAGCTACAAATCACAGAAAGACGGATCTCCTTGTAGATATCAGGACATGTGGTGATGGTGATCTCACCCATGTGGTGACGGTGATCACCTGACTGTCTTTAACGCTGCATGTTTTAATTTTAAACCGAGTTGACCGAGTGAAGTCAGGCCAGGTTCGTATATGAAATGCTTGAGGAAGCTTGGTATAGTTGCACAGGGAGATGGTGACGCTTGATTTTTTTTTTTAATGCATGCAAATTTGCAATTCAGCTTCAAATGTGGATTTTCACAATATTTACATAAGGTATTTAGTATTCAGGGAATGTATGTATGTTGAACTTCTTTCGCAGCGTACGTAGCCAACCATGCTAATCGGAGGGGTGGGAGGCAAGTATTTGATGCACTCTTCTTATTAATCATGTATACTTCAGGATAATTAACGTGACCTTGAAGTGATGCTTCATAAATTCAAAAAGGTGGGACGACACGTATAGTTAGTTTTGAACAAACTTAACCGGCCTCTTACATCTCATTGGCCTTTTTGTCAAATACAAATGTACACACTCCTGTTAAGAATAACTTAAAAAATACAAGATTAAAAGTCATATGATGCCTATGTTATGCTGGACTGATGGTAGTGGGTCTAGTCATGTGGAACTGTGTTAATCTCCTTATTCATGGTTCATAGTATTGCATCTTCTTTGAGCCTATGAATAGCTCGACATTGCGAAACTCTTTTGGCTTTGTTTTTCTCACGTTCAATACAGAGGGATATTCATATTGGCTGCCACTCTACGGAAACATCTGCTGTCGCTTGGTCGCTCAGCCAGCTTGCATGACTGAGGACAGGATGACCGGGTTCCTTATCGTGCAGGTAAATGTGTAATTTTACCTTGTTTAACATTCGATCCAACGTCTTTTGAACTAGGAATAACCCTCATTGATATTTATCATAAAATGTTGTCAATTGTGCACTATGTATGTTTGGTACAGTGTCAAAGAAATATGAGGGTGTTTTAAGGTTGACCTACACCATTCGTACTCAGAAACTTAATTTACGATAATAGCAAGTGAATAAAATGTACTCTTATTTTTTTTTGTTATTCCCCTGTTGCACACATGCATTTTCTCCATTGGTGATGTAACACTTTGTTACCAGAAGCATTGACACATGTACGCCACCATTTCAGAACATGTTTTCCCATCCATAAATTCATTACCAACTCGCGTGCATTTGTAAACGTATGCACTGACTACGACTGGTATCGAAACAATTGTGTGTACCACTCAACAGCTAAGTATATTCTCAGTTGGTTTTGACAGTTTTAACTGGAAATATCACCATTATATTCTCACACACACACAGCACAATACACTGTTTGGAAACACCAGTACTGCTCCGCTCAGTTGTGAATTCGGAGTTCACAGAATCTTCCAATCGTACTCGACAAATGTGCTGTCATTTGTTTCTTTTATAATTAGCTACAATGACATATGCAGGTTAACCTTGAAGGTCCCCTTATACTACTTCAAACATTGCAATGCCCACGATTCATTGTTTATCTTACCAAAGAGGTGTAGCTGTTACCTTCAGATTATCGTACTTTCATGCAGGTGTTAGATATGCATGATTTTAATATTTTTCTAATTTTATACTCGATAGATGTACAACAGTGTTCTTCACTAATTTTCAGAGGGGGCCACTTTCGCCAATAAGACATCATCAGTGTGAGGGCCGCCATACATTTGAAACCAATTGGGTTTGACAGCATGATGATGGGGGGGGGGGGTTGTTTTCACATTTGTGTATTGTCGGGGGCCGCACTAAAGGCCACCAGGGGCCGCAAGTGGCCCACGGGCTTTGCAATGAACAATCACTGGCATACAGTGTGATAGACTAGATCCTATACCAGTATTAATCCACATTTGTTTTCGAAGGAAAAGTGTCACAGATTACAAATATTTGTTCATGGCGGATCAAAATTGTGAATTTTTGCTATATTTCTGTCAAATATTTGTGCGTGCCGGAGGAGACCAGGATAGAGAAACTTCACAGTGAATAGCACTTGAAACTAGGTGCAGATAGCCAATTACAGGTGGTAGTCTCACACACCTGATGTTACCATCGCTGCCTAATCTGTGCCACTAGTTTGCAGGGATGCACCACCAAACATTAGCTCGTAAGAGAGTGACTGGTTACCGCTAGCACCAAACTTAACAAGCTGAGATGACAAACAAGACGGTCCCCGAATTCAAGACAACTCTTTAGACCTTGGAATTGAATTGTGCAGTCAATGTAAAGCAACTTGCATGATTTTTCTTTGCTTCTGTGCCAAAGTTGTGCTCATGCAGCTCTTTTCACCATCGTGGCCTCAACAGAGAGGAGAAAAGCAAGATTGCAAGCTCTTCTGTGTGCTCGTAGAAGGCAAGCTGCTGTGTTTCACCACGCTAGAAAGCAAGGCCAAGGAACAGGAGCCAGTGTTCAGCATACCCATCAACAAGGTGACCGAGAGACACGGACACAGAGAGAGATGGTGGAAGACAACAACATTTTTTAAAACATTACTCTGCAGATTTGCAGGAAAAAAATGTGCCTTTCAGGTTCACCTATAACCCCCTCATCGAAGTCGTTTGTATGCCGCCACAGTGACTCATGCAGCCAGCTATGGCTGCAGGGTTTTGGTAGTACATGTTGTTTGTCGTTTATTGTGAAAATTCCGTCACAGTTCCTATGATCACTGTTTCATTGGTTTATTTTGGTGATTTCGAGATGTTTTGTGGTTTGGCCATGTTTGTTTGTTGTAGTACGGAGTAAGACTGATGGCCTTAATCTAAGTTGTCTTGTGGTTGTTGTTGTTGTTGTTTGACTTGCATCCCACTGGGATTTTTGCACACAGCGTTGGTGTACGGTGCTTTTTCAGCAATATTTTGCTGTCTTTTCTTGGATTTTCTGTTTGCACTTGGTCACATATTCACTTTAAGATGTTTTCTTGTTCATGTTTTTTGTTTGTTGCGGTTGCACCCGATTCAAGAGCCGAATGGCTCACAGAGCTATACCTAATAAATGAACTTGAACATCTGGAACAATGAGGCATATCCTGTAGTGTGCGTTGACGCACGTTTAGATCGGCGCGCATCGTCTTTGCCGCACAGGATACGAGGATGCGCTTGGTGGGTTGTGAGGATGGCGTGGATCGGCTTCAAGTGCGAAACATGGAGTCGGCACGGTGGCAGAGTCACACGCTGCGGGCACATCGCTCCCCAGACCTTCTGGCCTGGCTGGAGGCACTCCGCCAGCACGTTTGGGATCTCGGTAAGAACATCGAGTTAATCGTTTGTTCCACGTTGGAACATTTCCACATTTCCACTGGAAGCTATAATGTCAGGCCAGGCAACGACAAAACCTAGTGATTTACAGAGGGAATGATATAATCTTTAAACCATGTGTGACATCTTATTTCATGAAGCCTCAACTTTAGGTGTCAGTTAATGTTGATAATATCTTTCATCTCGTGCTTTTGGTGAAAAAAATATTTTAAAATATATTTTTAAAATATATATAAAAACATTTTTTGCAGTTTTACATCAAATTTGGCATAGAATTACTTTCAACCCAATACATTAATGTGGACACAAATATGCATACATTGGGCGTCGTCAGTTTACCTCTTGCACAGGTAATGCACACATTGACACAAGGCTTGTAAAGTTTTGAAACAGAGGTTGCCAACTCAGCCTTGATGGCTATTGGTAATGAATATCTTTCCATGTCAGCATTCTAGTTTCAATTATATGCATTTACTTCATGTTTATTTGATGTGGTAAAATGTTTTCCCTGCAAGGCTTGGCTGTGAATGATGATCCCTTTCTTTAATTCAATGAGCATGTTTTGTACAGAAGAGAAGCCATGTTCTGATGACCACATAGCAGGACGTGTGGCCTTGGCTGAGTGTGTACAGTTTTTTTTGTTTATTTGTGCTCCTATCAAAATAGTTTCTCAAGTTAAACCCTGTCAAAAAAATTACTCTGTTTACCTTTGTAAAATAAAAGTCATTTTGTATAAAGTGCTCTACGACAAAGTATCAGAGGTCGCAATCGGGTACCCGATACCCGTACCCTACCCGATACCTGGCTACCCATACCCGGCCGGATACGGGTAAGGGTACCCGTTTGCGACCCTGGTGCGGCCGGGTACGGGTAAGGAATCAAAACCCATTTACGACCTCTGCAAAGTATACACTGTGAAAACTCCAGGTTGTACCCATGCAGTGTGCTGTTTGCAAAACACTCATATTTGCATTGATGACATACATTTTCAACTTTCAATTGGTGTCATTCATGAGAATGTTGCAGTTGTTGGATTTACGAAGGCCTCTTCACACCGATGCCCATTTCCTTTGCAATTTATCGAACTTGCGAGCCCTGGTTGTTAAAATGCCACCCCAAAATAGCTCGTCACATTCTGCCGTCTCATCTCGGTTATGCAATTCTCCTCTGCCAATCATCTCGTCGGTCAACCCATGCATGGCACCTGGGCCTGTCTCGTGACCTCATGCCAGCAAGCTTTCGATGCTTCACATGGCCTTGAAGTGTACATATCCTGGTACAAGCGCCATGGTGACGTCACCGCCACTTGGTGGCGATGGCGGTTGTAATTCTCCTTGGCTTGTGCTGTTCCAGACAATTGGAAGCAGTGCTGTAACAAGGTCATGGCAATTGAAGAGCTGTTGCCCAGGGCAGCTAATCTGCAGTCAAAGCCAGGATCATCTCTTTATCATGACATGGGTAAGTTGGATGTGTGCCTAAATGATTAAATTACACAAATAATTTATCTGACTGGAAATTTTTGAAGATGGTAACAGTAAGATGTAACTTTTAACATTTTTATATATGCTGTGTGTCAATTTTACAGTTTTATTTTTACAAACCAGTAAAAAATCTTGAGTTCTGACTGAGAGGGCCTACTTATATATATGGTATTACATAGGTAGTGATTTGGTTTTGGTTTAGAGGTAACATATTTTCATGCAACCCGTGTTGAAGATTGACGTGAAAAGACAGATTATGGTGGCGCAGTTAAAAATTTACATCGAAGTGCTACTAAGGCAAACTGGCACCTATGAACATTGTAAAAGCAACAGTACATTCCAAATTGGGCTCACAAGATCTGTTGTTGTTTTAGTGGAAAAATCATTAACCTCAATTTCTTTTCTTCTGCATAAAGGCTTGCAACAATAATAGGTCAAATCTTGACTTAAAGCTTTCATGACTGCAGGAATTCATATTCTTTGGGTCTTTCGGTAAAGTCATGTAGATAGGTTCAACATTTATAAAAATAATAAACAAAAAATCATGACGTTTCGATCGCAACACAAGCAACCGTCTTAAGGTGGAAAAAAGGGGGGGGGAACTCATAAAGGCAATCTGTTTTTAAAGGTTTAAGATGGGCGTAGCCCAAGTGTCAGAACAAAGTCGTTGTCGTATCCTCAAATCTTGTAACTAAATTTTTACCCACTTCCCAATGTGGTATCGACTGCAAACTTGGTATACTTATGTCATACTGATCACAATACTATATTCTATCATTAAAAAATGTAAACGATCTTTTTACACGTTTTCTATGAACTCACTCTGTTGTTATCGTATCCTCAAATCTTGTAACTCAATTTTAACCCACTTCCCAATGTGATATCGACTCCAAACTTGGTATACTTATGTCATGCTGATGACAATACTATATTCTATCAAAAAAAAATTAAAAGAGTATTTTTAAACCTTCTTGGTTCTTTCGGTAAAGTCACGTAGAAGGGAAATAATAAAAATAAAACATAATAAAATACAATTCTCACGACGTTTCGGCCACAACGCAAGCAGCCGTCCTCAGGTGAAGAACAGGTCTGTCGGAAAGACAGCGTCATTTAGACGCATTCAGACGCTGTCTTTTCGACAGACCTGTTCTTCATCTGAGGACGGCTGCTTGCGTTGTGGCCGAAACGTCGTGAGAATTGTATTTTATTATGTTTTATTTTTATTATTTTATTATTTCCCTTCTACGTGACTTTACAAAAGAACCAAGAAGATGAATCGCTGCAGTCACGAAAGCTTTAAATCGAAGTATTTTTAAACATTTATTTTTATATGTTATGTTTCGGCTTGGGTCTATTTGTCTATGCCCCAACTGATGTTGGCTGTAAATCACCACGATCCCTTACATTATGGCAAGCCTCCGGGGCCACTTCCTGGAGTCGTGGAGTTCTGCCATTACTCGTACGATACATTTCATTAAAGCGTGTTTTAAAAAAAGTATTTTAAATATTAGTTATTCCACCTGAAGACGGTTGCTTGTGTTGCGATCAAAACGTCGTGGGTTTTTGTTTATTATTTTTTTTATTAATTATGAACCTATCTATGTGACTTTACCGAAAGACCCAAAGAATAATAATAATAAGTAAATTCTGCAGACTGCATCTTTAGATATCTGTTGATAATGATGATAATACCTTTTAAAGCATAATTTTCGAGGTAGGGTTGGTGTTTATGCAAATGTGTATGAAGCATTAACATCCATTATCAGCCCACTGCTGGATGAAGGCTTCCCCGTGCTGTGTCGATTGTAGGGGTGTGTTTGACCATGCTTCATCATGCTGGTCGGTGTGGATCAGTGGAGTGCAGGACCGATTCAGATATCGCTTGTCACTAATGTTAGCTGTGCCCAGGAATTGAACTCTGGTGGTTACTTCGTTCAGAGCACAGCGTGCGAACCGCCGCACGACTGCTCTACCCCAAGGTGGCCAGTAGATGGTGGTAATTGTGTTTATGACCTGCCTGCTTGCATTTTTTTTAAGCATTATGTGCTGTTGTGTGTCAGCTAACAATACAATCTATCGACAAACTGACGATAGATATATTTAAAAAGTCGTGAGATAAAACTTAATACGTGCCAGCTCATTTGAAGGGTTACTGTGAATATTTAACATGTGGAATAAATAAGGGTATCACATAATAAACCAAAATATTACATCTTGACTTAAAGCTTTCGTGACTGCAGGAATTCATATTCTTTCGGGTCTTTCGGTAAAGCCACGTAGATAGAAAAATAATAATAATGTGGGCACACACGAAATAGATCTTTCCAAGACGAAGGTACTCTGCAAACCCACTGGCTATCAGCAAAGATTCGTTCATGAAGCCATCCAGATATATCAACACAGACAATTTCAACCGAGAAGATGGATACAAACTGAGCAATCATTGGAAGGACGTTAGTAACCAGTTTAAGTCATAACTGGCTGTGATGTTTCTATCCTACCTGCCGATGTAAGCAGTTATTTTCGACTCTCTGAGTTACATTACCAGGTTAATGTCTTTACATTAACAGGCTAAATGTCTCACTAACACAGCCACCGTTGCTCGTTTTCCTCGATGTGGCAGTGGTTTTGGTGTTGTTCGTTTTTCTTACATTGACATGCTAATCTCTCACAATACAATGGTCACCTCCACAGCTTTGTCGTCGTGGAGGTAGCTCAGCTCTCCGATCTTACATTGACATGCAAATTTCATCTCTAGCCCCGCCCACTTCACTCATGACCCTTGGGCTACGCTCATCTCAAACCTTTATAACATCCTGCCTCAGCAGCTCTCCCGCTATTGTTTCACCTGATGACGATTGCTTGTGTTGTGATCGAAACATTGTGATATTTTTTTAAATTATTATTTTTCTATCTATGTGGCTTTACCGAAAGACCCAAAGAATACAAAATATTACAATTTGTATAGAGCAAAAGCTCTGTTGTCTGGCATTCATGAGGAATGGAGGGTGCCGGCTAATCAAGTATGCCGGTTATCTGAGAGTAATACTTATGGTTCACCAAATTTTCCAAGTACGTAAAACCTTTCAAGAAAAAAACAAACTAAGCCTACATTTTAACTATGATTAAATAAATAATAAACTCTTAATGAGGTACTCAGCAGTCCGTTGTAGAGCATTCTAAGTTGATTGTAGAGAAGCAGTGGGCCGTTTATAGTACAGACTACAGTAGGTACAGGATTGTATGTACAGACTGCTGCTAGCGCCACCACTCGGCAGCGTCCTGAAGCTTCCGTAAACAACGGGTCAATGATAAGTGCAAGGCTGTCATGAAGGAAGATTTATACTGGTAGGAACCTCCTGGTTACACCAGCCCACAGGGGATTATTGTGTCCGTCCGTCGTGCAGGGAGGGGCTGGGTGGGGAGGGCTGGGTGGGGAGGGGCTGGGTGGGGAGGGTGGGAGGGGTTGGGCTGGGTTGGGAGGGGCTGGTCACCCCATGGTGCGCTTATAAAACTCAACGTTTAACCTAATCACGCCGGCTTGTGCCCGCCCTCACAGTCGGGCATATTTGCGGAATACACCACGTCGCCGTTGACCCTGGCCATTGACCGAGCAACCCAACGTTCCTACCAGCTCCCTCCGCAGGAATGTGTTTTACACTTGTTTAAACACAATGTCAAACAAAATTTGGGTAAGACCTTGAAAATGTGCACGAAAGTAGAATTCACGAATGTGGATGCCATATTAATAAGGGGTTAGGTTCCCGTGTTCGACTGAACATACCTAGAAAATGTAAATGTTTCATAACATTAATCCTGTACTGTACATATAAATAACATTCATATGCTTGATTAAAGTTTACAATAATACAAATAGATAATGCAAATAAGACAACAAAATAGAGTCAATAAAGTAAAACATATCAATAAATGATCTTGAAAATGTTTAAGTTGTATTTTCCTTGGATGATGATGGTGGTGATGTTGGAGAGGAAGTTAAAGTGATTACTACTTTTTGAGCTAAACTCATCACTTTCTTCTGCCTTTTTCCTCTGGCTCTCACTTCCTCCACTCACTCGACGCTTAGACCCCATGATCGAGATGAAATAAGAACACCACAAATAAGGGAACAAAACAGCACAAAAGGCAACGGCACTTGAACAGTAAAAACTTCGGGCACGTGAATCACGGCGCAGTTGACGCCACAATGGCTTGGGTGCGCACACTGGGGCCACGATCCACTGCTGTACTACACAGGTTACCCCTCCCCATGATGCGATATTCCCAAACAAAAACTCGCATACGAGCATTAAATCTCGAATAATCGAATTTTGCGAAAGAAAAATCCGCGAATGAAGAGGTTTTACTGTATTCTGAAAAAAGTCTTAATCCTCGGTGACTCATTCCTGCATGACTAAAACTGCTTCATTGTGTATTTATTATGTGCCCCAATTAAATTCCGCTTCATCTTTATTCACAGCCATCGACTCTCCAAGCAAAAACATTTCCCTGCCGCCAACCGATAGAGCCCAGCAGCCCGCCGATATGCCAAGTGCCTGTGGCAGCCTCGCCACCGTGCGGTGTGCGGGGACGGAGCCGACGCTCGCCGCGTCGCCCGGCGGCTCGGGCGACGCGGCCGACGCGAACGAGCCGGGAAGAGGACGGCGCAGCAGCGGAATCGCGCGTCCCTTCGGGCAGGAGCGTGGAGAAGCGCCCCGCCATCGGCGGGGAGCGGCGGATGTCCCTGGACGGAAAGCTGGCGGCGCTCAAGCAGCGAATACTGCAATGGCCCACGGCCGGAACCCCACGCAAGATCCGGACGGCTGGCGGCCCCAGTGAGCGGCGTGTGGCCGCAGTGGCGGGAATGGGAAGGCCGCCTCTTCCCCCGCGACGCTGCACACTCCAAAAGTGACGTGTAGAATAGCAGCGGGAGGCGAGGTTAAGGAGCCGAAAGGTGGACAGGTGCATACGTCTTGTGCTTGGGGATTAAACGTCGTGTGATTTAGAGTTGGGGAGTCCCTCATCGTTTCGTCGTGGAGGGGTTAGTGCTGGAGTAAGGGCTAGATTAAGGCTGTAGGCTTAAGTCGGAGAACAGCGTTGCCAGATCTGTAGAATAAAAGCTTCGCAACGAATGGAATTCACACCTCAAGATGTAATGAAAAATAATTTAAAATGTGATTTTTTTTGTTACAAATGATGAGAGTAACAACGATACAACAGTTTACATCCAGCTCAAGGAGAGTACGTGGGCTCTGGCGGCTGGCAGTTAATTGCAAATGTGATGCAATGAAGCCCAATGACCAAGTTTACCAACAGTTATATAAAAAATATATATCTTAACTTGTCCAACTCAATCTCTGAATGTGTCGGATGACTGACAGTCAAGAAAACCACCCTTCACAGATCATTCAGGAGTGCTGTTCCGTGTTTGGTTAGATGATTAATTCCAGAAGTAATTAGCTGGTGTCACCGTTCGAGGTAATTCCTTAATGTGATACAATGCTCTGTTGACTGCAGGAGTTCTGGAAAAAACATGGTTCGTTGCTTCATAAGACCATAATAGGGCATTTGGGATATAACTGGTGATTAGAACATGAAATGTAGCATGTAAACAGAAAATTACGTTTATTTTTGGTGCTAGTCGCTTAAAATCTGCAGCAGATGTCAATTGCTTTACTAATGAGAGAGCCGTTTGGTGTTTTTCTGACTTTTTATCTGGAAAGATTTGCAGGGTGCTAACGGTTGATGTAATCTACGTTCAACTGCTGTGCTTGTGAACATTTTGGTAATGTTATCAGTGATGGTGATGATGAAACTACTGTTTTTGGTACTTGACGATTGCTTATTTTATTTCAAAGTTGTCTTCTTTGTAGCGTGCCAACTACTGAATGAACAATTACTGGATTGCAGGCGATGCCTGTACATTTTCCATTGTTCGTACCTTTAATTTGCAGTGGAAGTTTTATCGTTCATAGCATTTAGATTTTGAGTGTGTTGGGTTTAAAATAGACCTCAGTTTTGTTGTGGTTATTTGTAGATTCAGAAAATGGTACATTTTGTCAGATGACGTAAGAGTAACTACTGTAAACGCGTTTCAGTGCTGATACGAAGCAGTGTGGCCCAGTGCTATTTCTTTAGCGGCTCTTAAGGACAGGAGTGGAAATGTAACATTTCCCAGATGGCGGAAGGGTAGTCCAAAAGGACACCCACTGACTATTACATTTGCAAAAAAGTGGTACGTAATTTATCGACTTACAAGATGATGGGCTGCATTGATCTCTTCCTGAGATATGAACTCACAAACCTCCCAAATGTGAATCGAATTAACTACAGCCAAGTAACCTGGCTGGATTAAAAGTGCCGGTGAGTGTGAAGTTGAATATAACTGTGTGTTACACTACTTGCGATGTAATATTGTTTCCCTGACTTTCAAGTGGAACTGCAAGTCGACAGTTAATGTAACGCATGCCTCTTGACATTTCCCACAAATCCCCAATGCTGAGCTTTTGTTACCAATAAAATGACTGCGCTGGGAATAAAGTTTATGACGCATTTTTCAAGAGTGAGCAACGAGCGGAAAATTGCTACATTCAAGGCACTGTGCTAGACATTGTGTGTGTGTGGGGAGCGGTAGTGTAGCGGTTAGCGCGCTGCGCCACGAACCTGGCCACCCGAGTTCGATTCCCGATTACGGCCAATACCACCGGTGACGATTATCTGAGCCGGTTCTGGGACTCCCCTCCGTCGGCTCGGCCTCAAATGAGTGCCTGGTGCGGTGTGTAGTAAACATCGCCACTGGGGAGACAAAGGCGGCCGGGCGTGGTGTTGGCCGTGCCCGCCTTCATAGGTGCAACTCGCTAACAGCACTTGCCCCAACAGTCTGTTAGAAGCTATACGGGGAATCTTTGTCTTGTATACTCGTGTGGCTAAGTAAATATTCTTCGACAAGTAATTGGTTTATTCTTAATCCGGGTTTTGCTTGTTGAGCTAAACCCATTGATCGTGCCAATGAACTTCTCTGTGGGAGAGGTGGGGGGGCACCACGCGACCCCCTCCTCCACTGCGATTACTCAGCACTCGTCGCACACACGAAGTTGCTCCTTGCCACAGAGGAAGCCCACGACATCACCTCGCAAGGCCTCGTCAAGGAGCGTGAACCGTCGGTCACGCGAGCTCCGGTGGTCATCCCTCGCAGCAGCAGCAGCATATTTATATTTTGGCTGCTCGCCGTCGAACAAAGACGGCGGTCAACCGGCGCATCGCGCGGCGCTTTGAGATGCGCTTCTGCGGCCGTCTGGAACGCTCCTTTCTTCCGATATCAGGAAGTCACGGGAGAGCCGTGCACTTCTAAATCATCCAGATTGAAAACTCGTTTCTTACAAACTACTGTGTCGTAGTATTTGTTGTCCTAACCCCCGCACATCCGATTTAGCGCGGTTGGCTACGTACGGTGTGAAAGAAGTTTAACATACAGGACATAAGGGACATTTTACTTACCCAGTCTGACCGAAAACACAATTATGCGTGACAAGTTCATCTTGTTATCGATAATTGCCAATGGATAACGCGCGTTAGGATTAAATAGTTTACGTTGAAGAGTCGTAAAACAACATTACAATTATACTGGTAGGAACCTCCTGGTTACACCAAGCCCACAGGGGATTCTTGTGTCCGTCCGGCCGTCGTGCATCCAAAAATGGGAGGGGTGGGGCTGGGTGGAGAGGGGAGGGTGGGAAGGGGCTGGGCTGGGCTGGGTGGGGAGGGGAGGGGCTGGGTGGGGGGTGGGAGGGGTGGGGCTGGGTGGGGAGGGGCTGGTTACCCCGTGGTGCCCTTATAAAACTCAACGTTTAACCTACTCACACCGGCTTGTGCCCGTGCTCACACAGTCGGGCATATTTGCGGAATACACCACGCCGCCGTTGACCCTGGCCATTGACCGAGCAACCCAACGTTCCTACCAGCTCCCTCCGCAGGAATGTGTTATTCTTGGCTCTTTCGGTAAAGTCACGCATATAGGTTCAAAGAAAATAACAAAAAAAACTACGACGTTTCGATCGCAACACAAGCGGTCGTCTTGTGTTGCGATCGAAACGTACAATATGAAAATTCCTGCAGTCACGAAAGCTTTAAGTCAACATTATAATTCACTAGCAGTCATTTAAAAAAAAATACCAATTGAATGAGCGCGTTAACTCTTATCCGTTACACATTGCTGGTCGTGTTTCCACTTGGGCCTGCGCTCAGCAACACACAACCAGCCACTGACACGATGTTGAACGTCTTTCCGTACGTAGCCAACAATGCTCATCGAAGGTGCAACATTTGAAGTACAACACCACAAGTGCACCTCGTCCATTATCATCATTGCACGTCCTGCTTCATTGTTCAGCCAGGCCTGCCACACCTGGAACGTCTTGTCATTGGCGTTCAATGGACATTTGTGATCAGCTGCCAATTGTGGATACGTTGGTGTTGACATACCCGGGGCGTTTTCCTGCTGTTACTGTGGGTTTTTTAATGTAACGACTAATGGGCATTATACATCACATTAATCGCCTCCGCAGCTTCTCAGTGGATATACTAAGCATTCAAATAAGTATTTCGGTAAAGTCACGATAGGTAAAAAAATAATCATAAAAATATAATTGAAATAATAATAGAAATAAAATAATTATTCTGTGACTATACCGTAAAACCTAAGAGTATGAATCCTTGCAGTCACGAAAGCTTCAAATGTAGAATTCAAATAAGTGTCAGTTTTAAAAGAGCCAACAGGCTTACTGAGTGCTTTCCATGGCAAATGTTATTGACGTTCATCCAAAAACATGTGATGGGTTCTCTGCGTGTGAACACTCCACGTGTTTTCACGATGAGACAAACCACGGCTTACCAAAGCCCCCAGATATGTATCGTTGTCTGGGCAACATTGGCAAATATATACTTTCGAAACGTGTTCATTTCCTTTGTTTTAGCGCCAATGTAAAGTTGCAGTGCATACCGACGCAATTAGCAACATCGCACGAGAGCGCGCATTGTCGCACGCACGCTGCTACAGGGGCCGCCCATAAATGACGTCACGCACCTGGGGGGGGGGGGGGTGTCAGACATTTGTGACGATGTGTGACGAGGGGGGGGGGGGTTGAGAAATGTGACGTCACGTCAAAATGCGCAACTTTAAATAAATATAGACAACACGTTCTACTTAATTAAATAGGCTTTTTATTAAATGTTTTCTCCTACAACATCAGAGTGCAGCGCCACATTAAATACGCACTACAATGACAAGAGTTTAAAGCGATTTGAAGCATGTTTTTCATTTGGGGGGGGCAGAGCTTTGTGACGTCATATTTGAGGGGGGTCTGACTTTTTGTAACGCTGTGTGACGGGGGGGGGGGGGGGTCAAAAATCGTCCAAAATCACGTGACGTCATTTATGGACGGCCCCCAAAGCGCGTGCGTGTGTCGTGTTTTCCGTGGTCAAAATGCGTTCCACACAAGTGTCATGACAATGGGGTTCTGCGTGCGGTGTGAGTGAACTGGTGGCCACGGGAGGTAATGACAGGGGAGTCAGTTGTGGGTGCGAAGGGACTGGTGGCTACGGGAATGATCGAGAAGGGAACGTGGTCAGGTGACGGAAGAGGACGGTGGAGTCTGCCGGTGGAGCGAGCGTCCAGAGTCAGCGAGAATGTTCTAGATTTGAAGCTTTCGTGACTGCAAGGATTCATATTCTTAGGTTTTTTCGATAAAGTCACGTAGGTAAAAAAATAAAATTAATAAAAGTAAAATAAAAATAGAATAAAAATCACGACGTTTCGGAGGCAACACAAGCTTCCGGCTTTAGGTGGAACCGTCACAGCACGATAGCTGTATCAAGTGAAAGAAATACTAAGAAAACAGATACTCCATTGGAACCTCCTTTGCCAGTAGCAAAATATGATAATTGTAACAGATAAAAGGGTAAAAAAAACAATTATCAAAACAGATACTGTTTTCTTAGTATTGCCTCCGAAACGTCGTGATTTTTATTTTATTTTACTTTTATTAATTTTAATTTTTTACCTCAGCGAGAATGATCGAGAAGGGGGGCGTGGCCTCGTGTCGGTATAAAAGGGGGAGATGTGCGGGAGACTCGGGGCTGTTGCAGTGGAGATCCCCGCCTGGTGTCAAGTGAACGCGTCTTCAATGAAGTGCCATCTCAAGAGAAGTGTGTCCAGTCGTCATTACACAAGTAGCCAAATCCCCTGCCGGATTGGAGACTCGCCTAATTGACTGGTTTGCCATTCGAAATAGTGCGCTATTTGAGCTCACTGTTCAGATATATTTTAATCTGGATAAGAGTTGTTGGATATGTGTCCTATATCCAATATAGCGGAGGGCTTTATTTGCCTGTAAAATGAAAGCCCCCTCAATCCATTAATTACCCACACATAATTAAGGTTAAGAGATGTAGGTGAATCGTGTCTTTGTCAAAACATTAATGATAGTATTATACAATTGTTCAGATATATTAGCGTAGCCTTATAATTCTAATGGCAATTCAATGAGCCTTTTAATATAAAGCGTATTTATTTGGCCAATATGAATAGTGAACAGCTGACATCAGGGCACATTTAGCACTCAAACCCAATCCACACCTGAATCAAACTCCGCTTTAAGGTAGCTCTGAATCGACGGCGTGAATTGAGTCAGAGCCATGGATTTAGCGCAATAAATTTTTTCACTTGACCAGGCTTATCTGGTGGCGCAAGCCTGCAATCCAGCCCTTTGGGGGCAAAGTTGACGGACCATGGAGAAATGTTCATGCGCTTTGAGCGGAGGATCAATCTCACGAGCCCCTTGCAGTGTGAACCCTACCGCCTGCCTCCACCCCTGAATGACAGACTCGTTTTCCAGGGTCGCTGGTTACCCCGAAAGGAGTTCTTTCAAAACGGACGGAAGGGGCATTGGTCGACAGAAACTGAAGCACCCTTTGCGCTCATTATACTGGTAGGAACCTCCTTGTTACACCAGCCAACAGGAGATTATTGTGTCCGTCGTGCAGGGAGGGGCTGGGTGGGGAGGGGAGGGTGGGGAGGGACTGGGTGGGGTGGGAGTGGGGTGGGAGGGGTGAGGCTGGGTGGGGAGGGGCTGGTCACCCTGTGGTGCCCTTATAAAACTCAACGTTTAACCTACTCACGCCGGCTTGTGCCCGCCCTCACACAGTCGGGCATATTTGCGGAATACACCACGCCGCCGTTGACCCTGGCCATTGACCGAGCAACCCAACGTTCCGACCAGCTCCCTCCGCAGGAATGTGTTCTTGTTCCTCTCGCGCCTCCTCGGTCCTTGTTCCAAAAAAGTCTCCCTTCAAAAGGGTGACGCTTTTCACCGATCGCAGCACTTTAAACCTTCTCCGCCACTGGGCTCGTCGCGTATCCACAGAAGATGCCACGCACCTGGCATTCCAATTCACTCGGGTCTAACCCGGTGGTGGTGTTGTGCACGACACGCCAGATTTAACTCATCACACACCGTCAATTGAATACTGTTGGCCCAGGGCTGAAGCTGTTTCATAATATTTAGCACCACAAAAACTGTTTGCGAGTCTCTCCGACTCGTGTCTGACCATGTCCGGCGGCGTGTGTTGATCAAGCGGGCGGCCTGCTTTCAGCATACCCCTGGCTTGCTCAACATCGAGGGATGTTTTGGTGTCCCGCCCTTTATCCCTTGCCACCTCCTGCGCAAGGCCACACGCTGAACTTCCCCACGAAACAAATCCCTCATTGGATCTCTCACCCCCCTGACGAGAAACACTCTCCCTCCTCATGGTGGAGTTACTACCCTTGGTCTTTTTAGCCTGGAGTGGACTCCTCTTCCGAGTCCTCATCATCGGCAAATCCGCTCTGGTCTGGTCAACCTTTCTCTTTTCGATTTAAAGCTTTCGTGACTGCAGGGATTCATATTCTTGGTTCTTTCGGTAAAGTCACGTAGACTTTACCGAAAGAATAATAAAAATAATAAAAATTCTCACGTTTCGGCCACAATGCAAGCAGCCGTCCTCAGGTGAAGAACAGAGCTCCAGGTCCTCCAGTCATCTGAGGACGGCTGCTTGCGTTGTGGCCGAAACGTCGTGAGAATTTTTATTATTTCCCTTTTACGTGATTTTACCGTAAAAACCAAGAATATCAATCCTTCTCTTATTGCCCTGGGCCCCTTTTCCTTAAGGCGAGAACTGCTTCAGGTCACGACCCGGATTGGTCACACCAGGCCTGGTCCTTGCTCCGAGGTCAAGAAGGATCAGGATCATACCTCCCTCACCCGGGAGGGACCATCTCAAGGTTTTCAGACAGTAACCTCCCCTGAGACTCCTCAAGGCTATCCTGCATTCCTCACACTTGGAAACACGTTCTCAATTTTCCGCCAACGCTTAGCGTTTTTAATTACGTGTCCTTAACGGACTTTACAGATGAATTATATATTTTTTTACCACAGTCACTGCCTCTTTCACGCCAACGTATGTCACAAATGTTACTATCGGGCATTCCGCCTCTGATAAATACACCCCGAAATGCAGGAGCACAAAACATTCGGACGCCCTGCCCCACATTTTTTTTTTACACCGAGGAAAATTCGTCTCAACACGAGCTGCACCAACGGAGCACATTCTCTGCATGGGGTTGCGTTGCGTTTGCTTCGAAGCGTTCACCTTCAAGTGAAGTGCTGTTAACAGCTCAAAGTGCCTCGCCTTCTCTCCGTAGGGTGTGCCGCTTGGGCGAGATGTTAACTACCTCGCCTGGTATACAGCAGCAGGGTTCGTGGGTTCAATACCGACCCTGACGCCTGCTGTATATTTTGAGTTTGCATGTTCTCCCCGTGGCCGCGTGGATTTTTCTCCAGGATCCTCCAGTTTCTCCCTCGACGTTTAGAATGGACATCACGCGTTTGGAGTATTCGGCTGCTATAAACGTCGACGCGATGAGCCACTTCGTTGGACTATCATTTGTGGCCAGGTCGCTTCTGGAAAAAAGCGAAAGAGCTCAGTGGGCCTTACCTGGTAAAATCTAAATAAGTTTTCTGGGTGGCCAGCACAGGGCTGGTGGTGCTCAATGGCACGAAGTTATCCTCATCAGTGTGTCTTTCGGCGACCATCCTATGCACGTCCCCTCTTGCAAAAAAACGACACTTTCCTCGATTCATATACTGTACTCGGGGATGGCCATTTGTCTTATTTATTGAGACAACATTACAGAGCCCTTGATAAGATACATGTTATAGGCTTAAACCTGGATGAAATCCAACCATACTGTTTTATCATATAAGGAAAACATGTTTTGTCCAATGTACTACGTAAGTTTATATAACAGTTGTGTAGAAAATAATAATAAAAAAACCGAGCATGTTCACAGTGGCTTGATGAGACAAATAAATAATTCGTTAAGCACAAACCATTACGATTAAGCAGATATATGTTGCTCTGCAAGGCCCGTTGGTATGCATGCACGTGAAATTTCATTATGTACCTTTATTTCAAAGCTTGAATCAACATATTCTTTATCATGATTTGCGGTTAAATGCATGCATACCAACAAGTCTGCCGACTTAAAACAGCCACCTTAAAAAACACCATTCATTAAGTCAAGCTTAACAAGCCTTAAATAAATACAGCAATAAAGTATTTGAATTTTGGAAGGATAATTATGTTTTATATCGACTCTCAACTAAGCTAGACAAAATTATGCTAAAGTTCTGCTATAAATTAGAAGTTCATGAAATCACGTGTTTTTATCAGTATTTGTTAAACCAGTAAACATTTGCTTCCTGTAAATACAAGTAATTATTTTGGCATTTATTTTGACAATTCAAGAATTTAAACAATGCTGAGAAGGAATACACACATTGTAGGCCACAATTCATGTTACGGGTCAACTTTAAGACGCAAACCACAGACCTAAGGAAGAGTATACTGTGTGTAAAAGATAAAAATAACAAATCAATTGCAGAAGAATTAAGGATTATGAAAACACCCTTCCCAGCTAAAACTTAAATCCTCACGCTTCAAAATAACGCAAATTCAATGATGTGTAAAATCATTATTTGTATGCGATTTTGTTGTATTTTTTTAAATCCCAAAACACTGTTTTGCACCCACACAGCTAAGATTGGCGGCAGATATATTTAATAGTGGTACATTTATTCAAGAAAGTCAATAAATACACTTAACACAAGGCCAGTTAATCAATGGCAATAGTAGCCGGCACACTGTATAGAGAGAAAATAAAATATTCCATCAGGGTTTTATGATGCCCTATTCGCGGATAGACGAGTTATAACTTTTCATTTCACGGAAGTCTTTTTTGAACACAATATGGACACAAGAATGCTTACTAAGCTCTATGCCCCGCAGCTCAATTATCATGATTATAACGCCTGCGTTTACACCGAGGTGCGAATCTTGGATATTTTTGTGTGGGCTCCACGGATTACGCAGTCTGGAAACGTGAACGGCTGATGCGCCAGCCTATTGCGTTGGGCAGTTACAGCCATAACGTGTTTTACATTGGTGGCTAAGCCAGCGATAGGTGCCACAAACCCCAGGAGGTGGCCAAACGAGTGATTATACGAATGCAATTACCAACGGCAGGCGCACGGCGCGGACGTGTACGCGTGTGCGTCGCACTTTAAAGCTGTGGTTGTCCACGCGCAATCGGAATACGGCAGCGTGACCACCGCGCTGTTGTGCCAACGCGCGCAACTGTGCAAGGGAGCTGTAGTGGGGGAATCAGGAGGGGGGGCTATAGTGTTCACGCATTCAGAAAAATCCCTGCTCTGACGGTCTCATTTACAGTATATTACAACGCGTGGGGGTTAGTGTGGGCGACGACGAGGTATAAGAACCGCCGTAATCGGGGGGGGGGGGGGGGGGGACCCTTAACAAAGACTCTGCGACCTCCACGGCCACTGACAGTTGGCGTCGCAATTGCCGGGCCATGGAAGCGGGCGCAGCAATCGATGATTTAGGTCCAAAGTGTGGAACTTTATACAAAAGACGGCTTTACAAGGTTTCGGACGCCCTCGTTTGAAGGACTTCACACCCTTGGCAAGTTTTACAGTGTAGGCACTTGAATGTGAGCATGAAAATAACGAGGTTGCAATTTTTTTTTTTACACACGTCCACTTCCAAGAATTGGTTTTTATTTTCCTTTTCTTGAAAGTGGATGAAGATTGATTTTACGTTAAAAAGTCCGTTTATCGGTGTACCATTATTATACCTGCGCGCACGACTCATCGTTCAGTACAAAGTACACACAAACACTGCCTAAAATAAACTAAATATACATGTATTCAAACAGGTTGTTGTCATTATCACATTAATAATGGTAAAAAGCCAACACCATATGCAAATTATTTGATTAAAAAAAATCCCAGCATCTTATAATTAGCAGTTTTGTTCTCATGATAACTGTACTACAGTATTGTGAAACCTGGCGATATGACTGCCTGTGCGCGACTGAGACACCGCGCACGATGTGAAGTCCTCGGTGAACGTTGTCGCTTTTCGCTCACCAGACAGGCCACACCAGAAGAAAATAAACAAATGAAACATTTCATGATTCCAGTTAGAATTACAGAATTTGCGTGACTGTAATTACAGTGATTAGATCTTTTACCGTAAAAAAAAATACGCAACATTTCCCCCCCATTTTGGGAGATGTTACATATTAGTAGCGTACTTATTATATTACAAGAATAACAACGGCAATAAAAAAAAGCCGCTGCAAAACCGTACTTCGCACGACCGGCTAAGTACGGTGCGCGAAAGAAGTTCTACATACATACATACGTTCAAGGATCTAAATAACTTAGTGCACAATTTGTACCGGCGTGCATGTGCCAGGGCGGACACCCCCCCCACCCACATCCCCCCCACCGCGTGCGCTCAAATGTTGGTCCTGGGGTGTGTCGCTCTCAGTCCCATCGCGGCGCAGATGCTTTCGGGGAGGTAGGGATAAACGGCCGCCTGCCCTCCCCCGCCTCCACTTCCACCGTAAGCCTCCACGGGCAAGAAGGACATGCGTGGCAGAGCTCCGTACGAGTAGCCCTGCAGGCCCGCTCCAAACACCGAGTGCGCGGCCTGCTGCTGCTGCCGTTGTTGCTGCTGCTGCTGCTGGTGGTGCTGGTGTTGCTGCTGCTGCTGGTGGTGCTGCTGCTGGTGAGCGTGCAGCAGCAGCCGCGACTGCGCGCCCTGATCGGCGTGCACGCGAGCGCTCAGCCCTTCCGGGTGCGCCAGGTAGAGCGGAGGCGGCGACAGGAACGGCTGGCCCCCGGCCGTCACGGAGAAGGCCCGAGGCTCGGGCGCACGGCACGACGCCGGTTCCTCGTGGCCGTGGCTCACGAGCGCCGGTGCCGGCGCCGGCGGGGATGGCGGGCGTCGCGTCGGCTGCTTGTGCGGCAGCTCGCCCTCCGCTGTCCTCGCGGGATACGAGGCCGCGGGCTTCCCGTCGTCCTCGTGCCGCTCCTTGCGGGCTTCCACCTTGGTGTACGGTATCACCTTGTTCACCCTGTTTGCAGGAGCGACCGTGCTATTGCCAATTTGTCCTTCCCCAGATTTTTCAGGTTTCACATGAAGCTGCTGCTGTTGCTGCTGCTGGAACAAGGATGTGGTTGTACATCTTGTGATCTCCCAGCACTTCTGCTGCCCTGGGCTGGAATAATGGTTCTGCATGTGCTGCGGTGCAGGGCTCGGCGAGCCGTAGCGAAAGTTGTGGTGGCTCACCGGCGGCGAGAGAGACGTAACGACGGCGTCTCCCACAGCCCGACTATGCTCTCGCGCCCTGGTTGCCTGCTGGCCGCTAGCACCAGCAGCACATGACCCGTTACGATCCAGAGCCAACAGAGACGAGCCAAAGCAGTTTTTGCCATCATTGGCTTCATGTGAACCTGGGTTATGCGAGAGATCAATTGGCAGGCACACCGGCCGCTGCTCATCTCCTCTCATGGATGAGCTCAGGTCCAAAGCCATCACGCTCGTGGCGTGCGCCGAGTGGCGCCTCGGTGTCTCCATCCACTGTGACGGCTTCAAGAGCCCGTTGACGGTGTGAAAGTTTGCCAGCCTGGCTGGGAACCCCGTAGGCATGGAACATCGTCTCGCCGTCGCACCCCCTTCTTTTGATGTGCTCGGGGTCTCAAGAGAGGGGCACGAAGGCTGCACGGCCTCCGCTTTGTGTTCCAGAGGCGACGGTGGAGATCCCGAGCACCCCTGTTTTTCCCGAGCACGTTGGGTTTCCGAACCCTGGCAGCGGGCGGGGCTGACGTCGGGCGTTTTCTTGAGACACACGGGCACCGCTGGGGAACCCCCCCCGACCACCGCCACCACCGCGGCCACCGCCATCACCCTCGTCGCATCCGTCTTCTTGACGCTCAGGTCCAGCGGATTCTCGTCGGCGTTCGAAACGGCTCTGCCTTCCGCCGCCGCGCCGAGTCCGGCGGGGGGGCGGTTGAGCAAAAACACCCCGTCGTGGCGGGTGCCCATCAGGGCCAGCGGCACGCGGACCGTGGACGATCGCGCCTCGTCCGCGCTGGCCGGGCGGGACACCCCGTTGTTGGCCTTGGAGAGCTCGAGGAAGTGGCGGTAGGCGGGCTCCGACATCTGCTTGCTCATGTAGTCCAGGTAGCTCTTCTGCTGAGCCGGCATCGAGTCTTTGAGCTGGCAGTTGATGAGCGTGATGTGGCCCAGCTCGGGGTCCAGGAGCGGCTTGAGCTCGATGGCGATGGGCGCGTTCTTCTGGAGCTGGGACGGAGGCGCCTGCGTGGTGGGGATGACAGACAGCACGGTCCTCAGCTTCAGGTTCCCGTTCTTGGCAGTGGCCATGAGCTCGGGCTTTTGTGGATCCTCAGGCTTGAGTCGCCCTTTGCTGGACAACAGCTGTTTGAGAGGCCGAACAGAAGGGAGAAGTACGGTATCAGCATCGCAGCATGATCACAGTGTATGTTTTTTGTACGTGCATTTGAATGAACGTGGCCTGATATTCAACTTCCACTTGATGTGTCAATTCATATTTTTTGTTACTAGCTATATTTATTAAATGTGTGACTTTATACAAATTTAAAGCCACACAAATCACGCAGGATGCAAAAACTTTCAAAACTAACTGGGTGCACTGCGAGGGCACGATGTCACTGCATCGTTGTCTACGTGCGTTCTGACCTCGCACGTCTGCGCGTGATGTCAGTGGCACGGTTCAGCTTCTACAGTGGAAAAAAAACGCTTGGGGCCCTTCTAACCCACGATGGCTCGTCTAGGCATGGCGCAGAATGGAGTATGGTTTTATATTTGCTTTGGCACATGATGCTCCACGGCAACGCGTGATAGGTTTGGGAACATTTTAGCGTTTGGCGGGAATTTAATATGGCGTATTCTTGCCAATAACATCTGACAATACGGCAAAATTCCTGGAACAAGCCTGACGTGTGATGAGATTCCATCCAGGTCACGAGCGGAGAATACTTGCTCGAACAAATTTATCGCTCGATAAAATTGGTTCGGAAAGTCAATAAATATTGGTTTCGTGGACTAATTTTTTTTTTCCCCGCGCAGTTTACACGCGTAAAGTGAGAACGCGGCTATGTTCACGTCTGCCGTCTCCCGCACGGGAGCCCGGCTGCGGCGAGGGCGGTCACCTTCTTGCCGTTGCCTTGGGCAGAGTCCTTTTTGCATCTCTTTTCTTGGCCATAGCCCCCCTTGCCGCCGCCGTCGTCGTCGTCCCCCCCCGACCTGAGCGCCGCGCTGCCGTCGGCGGCGTCGCCCTCTTTGCCCGTGCCGTGCCGCTTGCGGGGCCGCGGCGGAGGCGGCGGCCGGTCCTCCTCCCCCCGCACGTAGCGCTCGTACGGCAGGATCAACCTGCGGGGCAGGGAGGGTAGGGAGCGGACAGAGCGTCGCGCGGAGGTGTAGAGGGTGGCGGTGGGGGAGGGTCGGCATGGGGGGAGGGGGGGGCACGATGACGGTGAAAACCAGAAGGGAATGTAAAAAAAGCTTGACTCCGCTGCATTTTTTCTAATTAATTGGGCTTTCAGCTAAACGCGAGATTATCTGGTGCAATGGTTAAACCGCATGTTCAAATTGCGGTCAGGGATCGACAACCCATCATTTATCTCGGATCAATAAAAAAAGAGTACCGCTTTGTGGGAAGTCAAAGTGGTTGTTTTAACCAAGCCTGGCTCCGGCTATAGCGAAGTAGACTGTCCACCATTGGCTTAGGGCTGTAAACAAGAAGATCAGCACGGGGCCAGGCTCGTGAGAGCAGGAAACCACTTAATTGACTATTAGCCGTCCTGATTGCGACCATTTACACGGAGCGATCGGCATCGAGGCTTTTAAACGGCGACTTGGTGATCGGGACCGAAAACGTATATTCGTGCGGGCCGTGGGGGGCATGAGTGCAGAGCCCCCCATTTCATTCGAGCGTTTGTCCACATCGGCCACGGCAGCAACGCACCTCTCGTAGTGGCGGCGGGTGCAGGTGGCGGCGCTGGTGCTCCCCGAGTCGCCCCCCAGCTCGTCGTAGACCACCTTCCACAGCCGTTGGGTGGTCACCTGCGGCACAACGGGGCGGACCGGGAGCTCGTCATACGGCAAACCCTCCACGGGGCCGCGGCGCAGCAACCCGACTCTTGACGGGGAGGCTCGCGACTTTCGAACCACCGCGCCGGGGGTTGACAGCAATTGGGCACCGCGTTTGCGACAGGGCACCCTGCTGCTGTGGGAGGCGACTGTCCTGCGCGTACGTAGGGATGTGGAATGTACACCGATTGCTCAGGGCTGCCGATGGAGATGAGCACCGCACCACTTTGACTTGGACCGATCCGAGAGAATCGTCCCCTTGCGGTGATACTCTCCCTCCTCTGATCTAATGATTGGATGTTGGTGGATTGCACAGACACGGAAAAACCTTGATACTTGGAACACCTACTGTGGGGCAATGGTGGCACCTATACCAGGGAGTACAGCAAATAGACTGCGCACCTCTCTGTACAGAGTTTGAGTGTCAGGAGAGTTAGATACTCGTGTGTGCATGGGATGTCTATGGGCATTCTGGAATCCTTCCGCGTAATAAAATCCCCAACAACGAAGTGAAAGGGAGTCCCCAAAGTCCAGGAACACTCCCAGTAGCGCACACCACTGCCGATGGAGGCCCGCTCCTCCTCCAGCGACTCCTCTTCTCCCGGAGCCCCGAGCTCTCGACCCACACCCCGTGCATCCATCCGCTCACTCCCCACCTTCAAGAGCCAAGCTCTTGTTTGGGTTTCCTCCAATCCCCAGTCTCATCTTTCATTCCCACCGTTATCTTTAATTGCTGATCTCGTCACGGAGCAAACCCATCACGTGAACTCCCGTCGTCCTCGCAGCGGCTTTTGGCGCCCCATCGAACAAAGACGGTCAGCGCATCGCGAGGTTTCAGATGCGCTTCTGCGGTCATCTGGAACACTGTTCTTTCTGATATTATTAAGAAGCCACTGGCGTTATGCACATAAATCTAGATTGAAAATTAATTTATTTTGAGCTGATTTTTGTGTTTAGTTTGTTGTCCTTCCGCCGCACCTCCGATGAGCACGATTGGCTACGTACGGAGCGGAAGAAGTTGAACATCATTATTTCTCTTGGGTGTCCTGAGCGTGACACCGCATGACTTCATTGTGACCTGCATGACCTTTACATAAGGATACCAAACACCCCACACGCAGGACCCTTCTGAAAACAAGCCTTGGGACTAGGTGAGGCTTTCATGAGTAAACAAACTTGTGAAAAAATTGGCTTTTTTTAACTTGCTTTTAAAATGTAGAATAAAAACCGTTTACAGCTGTCACCACGAACAAAGCGGAAAATCAGACGACACAAATGAATCGGAAGGCACGCAGCATCGAGCACACAGAGCTGACGGGAGCCGGTGAATTGGTGCCCTACCTTTAGCAAATTCTGCAGAGAAACATTGGTCTGAAAGAGGGCCCCTGGGCAGGTGCATTGCATATTGCATTATTTCTGACCTACAGTCTTTGTATTAATTGCAATCTTTTGCTTGAGGGGCAAATATATATTTTAAAAAGTGAACGTTTCAGGCAAGGTGCTGTGTACGCAATTTGTTTTTGCGGTTATAAAGCGGTTTTGATGATGGAAAGTATTTTAAGTTGCGACTGGGGCCTATTTAACTTTTGTCGATCCGTTTGAATGGCTCATTTCTACGGGAAATGTATCATCATTCATAATAAATCGGGAATATTATATGGCAGTCCAAAGCAGACTGTGTATATGCCTACTACTTTAAACAGAAGAATATAAAACACACATTTCTTTAAATGCATTCAGTAGCTTACAAAAATGTGTCACTTTGTTTACATGTGTATTTATATATGGATATGCGAATGTGTTATTCTGATTTCTTCCTACATGCATGAAGAAAATAAACAAATCACTCATCATCTAACTTCCCAAGGGAGGGCCTGACTAAATAAACGTATCTAGATTGATTCAACCTTTCCCGGGTAAACAATTAAAATTCAGCTATGAACCCAATTACGTCAGTGGTGAGCGATACCTGAACCAGTTCTGGGCAGCCGTCTTTCATTAATCCCACACAGGCCAGTGCGGTGAAGTATGGTCAAACAACGGTGTGAGAAGGCCTTCGCCCAGCAGTCCATCGACAAAGGGCTGGATACATGACTATTATCCTTTGGCTTGGTGAATTTTCTGTGGGATATGGCTGGGTGGTTTTGAATGCACCAGTAATACTCGATTGTGAACATTACAAGAATAAATCTATGATCTGACAATGGAATGTTGACTTACAGAATCATATCCTCCAAGCTGTTGTGTTGTCTTGAACATAATCCAAAGGTTAACTGGAACAAAAAAACAGACGTACGTTACCACACGTTTACCGACCACTGTACAAAGCTACACATTTTACAGCGTTAAGTTTAATTCAGGTCAGTGTTAAACTTACACGATTTGGGTGAAACTTTACAATTGTTTGTTTAATCCAGCGGAGACAAACAAAAACCCGACTAGGAGCACAGAGTCGACCGTAGCGTGGAACACGAGGGGCAACAATCAACTACTCCACACTCAAGAAAGTCCAGGGAACAGTGATAGCAATAATTGGATTACATCCATCTGTGATTGAGAAAAAAAACAAAACAGATTGGTTGGTGGTGCTCATCTCCACTGGCAGCCTTGAAGCAGTCGAGAGGTTACACATTAGTGTGGCACGATCCAGTCCATCGATAAGGCAACCCACTTCTGGCCTCCCCGCAAAGAGGTCCTCATTTTATCAACCATAATTAGCTGATGGGCTGAGTTGACACCTGAAAGCGGAGTGAATTCACATCCACATGAACTAGAGCCAAGCACTGTAAACACAACATGATTCAGGCAGATAGATAATCCTTAAATTGGACCAATAAAGAATTGTAGTGACAGAGCGCCAGCATCATTTAATACAAAATAAATGATGCATTTTTAAGATTTTAAAAAGCAGTAACAATATACCAGCTAACTAACGTCACGCTATTGAACTAAAGTCCAAACCTATTAGCCACCAAATAAATCGAATATGAGCAGACATACGACTCAGGTTTGCAAAAAATATGTAGTGGCAATCATAAACTCCTCACGAAGAACTTTGCAAAACCGGCACGAATCCAATTCTAAAAAACAAACTCTATACAAATAAAAGCAAAACACAATGATAGAACCCAGACACAGAACTCAAAACGCGTCCGTAAACCGCGCGAGAAGTGTAAGACTTGCAAGAATATAGTAATAGGTTTTTACCCTTTTAACTGGTACAAAATCTGACACCTTTATACAAGGCATCATGTTTGCAATAACCTCAACACAAGAAGTCAAAATGCAAACAAAAAGAAACAACTCTGATGATGATAATGATATGCACTGTCCTTGAAGTTGATTGGTCCACACCCGAGACAGCTTTCTTGGCGTCATCTGGTCCAACACCAATGGAGACTAGGCTCTAAAGAAAGCTGTCTCGGGTGTCGACCAATCAACTTCAAGGACAGTGCACATACATTATCATCATCAGAGTTGTTTCTTTTTGTTTGCATTTTGACTTCTTGTGTTGAGGTTATTGCAAACATGATGCCTTGTATAAAGGTGTCAGATTTTGTACCAGTTAAAAGGGTAAAAACCTATTACTATATTTTGTCACTGGTAAAGGAGATCTCATAGTGACTTGCAACAATGTTTTAGTGCGGTAAAAATCTGGCGTACGAGTGGACTCGTGCAACGCAGATCGTCACTTGCGTGGCCAGTTACTCGAGCCGACGCTCATCGCGCTCGCTCACCGCGAACGCCCGAAGTGCGACAATTTTAGACGCGCGTTTTCGCAGCGGTCTTATCGTGCGCGCGTGTTTGCGCGCTCCCCTAAGTTGACTTCACCAAGAAGAAAAAAATTATTCCAGAAGCGTGTCCTCAAGATGCGCCTCATTAAAAACCAATGTCACCAAGTAAATAACGTATGGGCATAAGAATGTTTACGGAGGCATCCTGTCGTGTACAAAAATAACATATCATTAGCCCAGACTTTAAGGCTGCGTCAACAAATGCAGCCACGCACACGGCATGCACAGCTGCTTTGCTATTAAAATAGGGGCTACAGGTCAAGTTGCAGTGGGTCGATATCCAGCCAAGTAGACATCTCGACACAAAAATCTGGCGTCGAATATGTACGCAGGGTCAGTCGATTAAAGTCTACACATTAACATTGAAATAATGTGTTCCAGAGGACGGCATTGTCGAAACAATGGTCGGATGCGAGCCACTAAAGGCCGTCTTGTTCATATTAATGCAAAGGTCAAGAGAGGTCACCATGCCCATTGCTCTTCGTGCCTCAGCATCACTGTCTTGTACTAAATCCCACATTAGTTGAAAAGTTGACACCCAACGCTCCAAGGTCTGCCATTGTAATATTTTGACCAGAGGACGCTACGAAAATGTCCATCTCGGTAACACTGCCCCCCCTCCCCCCCTCCGCCTCCTCCTCCTCTTCCATCCGGAGCTCATCACAACCCCTGCATCCTCATTTAGGTCTACATTTTTTTCAACCGTGTTGTTTTCCAAACTTCCAAGTTGCTTACCAAAATACGGGCAGAATAAATAAATAGTTATTTGCTTTGAAAGCCAAAAGTTTATTCAATATTTACTGCATAAACGTATACATTATCTAAAAAAAATGTTAACATATACGTTCGACGTTATTTTATCGTTCTAGGGTAGGCTTCTCTTATATTTTGTTAAACGTTTCATTACATGGCCTCTTGGCCATTGGCACTTGTTCAGGAATACACATTGTGGACCCACCCCTACTGGACATCTGTGAAAAAGGTCTTCATAGCTCATCAGATTCGTCCAGTCTAAACAAAGATTCTGATTGCGATTCCCCTCTCTCGTTCCGGAGCACTCTTGTCTTTTGCTGACGATCGCTCGACCAAAATCAACTCGCGACGCCGATGCCGCCTCCTCACCTCGGCAACGATCGCACGCAAGGTCCTCGCGTGTCGACACCAAATGGGCAAACGCGCACAGCATCCCAGCGATGCGTTGCACGCGCTGCGCCACCACCGCCGCCACCACCACCACCACCACCATGCGCGCCACCACCACCACCACCGCCGCCACCATGCGCGCCACCACCATCACCATCACCACGCGCGCCACCACCAGCACCATCACCACGCGCGCCACCACCACCACGAGCGCCACCTACTCTGCTTGAAGCCCAGGTGCGGCAGGCGTTCGATGGGCGTTCCGCGCTCGCGCATGAACTTGTAGATGGCGTCCAGGAATGCCTTCTCGCTGTCGCCGTCCTGTCCCGTGCCGCTCTCCGCCGCGCCGTCTCTGTGCCGCGCCGCCGCCACCACCGCGTCCACTGGCGAGGCCTTGGCCACGGCCGTGGGCTTGGCGTTAGCGGCGGCCACGTTCGACTGGGGGTCCTGTGTTTGTTTGATTACAGGATAAAAAAAAGTTAAAAGCCTGAGTGGAGGTTAAAGATAAAGGGTACTTCGTTTTTTTTTACCAGGTAAGGCCCACTCAGCTATGTAGCTCTTTTTCAGAATCGACCTGGCCACAAATGATAGCTTAACAAAGTGGCTACTCACATGGACATTTATAGCAGCCAAATACTTTTAAACGCATGTTTCTAAATGTGCAGGGAAAACTGAAGGACCCGGAGAAAACTCCACACGCCCATGGGGAAAACATGCAAACTCCAAATATACAGGCATCAAAGTCGGGATCGAACCCATGACCTCTTGTATACCAGCCGAGGAAGTTAATCTTGCCACCGTGGTGTCTAAAATTACAAAACGGCCAAACATAGTTATTTTTAACTGGTGGTGTGTATAAGGCATAAGTCTTGGTGTGGCGTTAAATCTGAATATCTGCGCAATGCTGGCCCATTGCCCAGATGCAGGTATAGCAGCAGTTAGCTTCCCTCCCACTGATCCACCAGGCCACAAATATTTATTCTACTCTATTTATGGTGTCTATAGACTCACACAACTGGCTAAAGCATGAGAATCATGGTGGAACTTTGCGTGGCCGCATTGTTGCTAATGAGCTGACGGAAGGGATGGATGATTTCTGGTGGTTGCAGCAGGCTGCTGTGCTTGGTGTTACAAGCCCCCCAGTTAAACCCGCCACGTGCCGACCCGCCCATAACTGGACATCTGTGGAAAAGAGCTTCATAGATAATCGGATTCCTCCACCAGTCTAAATAAAGATTCCAATTCTGATGTGTGGCCGAAATGCAGCAACGTAACACGTTTAACCGCAGCTGTAAACCACGAGGGGGGGGCCTTCGCCGCGGGAGAAGACGCCTCACCTTAACCAGAGGCTCCATGGCAGCTGACGTGGCCTTGTTCTCCAGTGAGCCCTCTCCCCGAGAGGTCGCCTCAGTCCGGCCCTCGGACTGGGCGGAAGTTATGGCGGCAGCAGTGGTGCTGGAGGTAGAGCCGACGGAGGAGGAAGACGAGGAGGAGGACGAAGAGGAGGATGAGGTGGTGATGGCTTTGATGCACGGCAGCGTGCTGCGAATCCCTCTCCTGCGCGTGCGCCCCAGCGTCAGCCCGGGCTCTGTTTCGGAGCACGGTCGAGGTGACAAGAACACGCCGGCGGCAATTAACACCACGCGGCCAAATGATCCTGGACGCTGCCACCAGAATGTTCACCTGTAACCCCGTGAACATCACCATCTCTCCCCTCACCCTCAGATCCTTTCAGTGGTTCAAAAAACAGTGGCAAGAAGATCGGGCCTTCTTGTCTTAAAGATCTTGCACGTCTCCCATTCCATCTCGCTTTGCTCCTTTCCCCGCGTTCTTTACTCGATTTCCTCAGGAAACCTTTTCACTCAACAGGAAGTCGCTTCTTCCCTTCTGCTGCCCCCCCCCCCTGAGAGTCTGGAACCTCCCATCTGTCTGTACTCGTGTCTACCTCCCCCCTTGATCTCTCTGCCCTGAACCCGATCCTCCAACAGTTAACGTACACCTGTTTTACTTTCACCGCTCTGCCGCAGACGTGTCGCCACGTGCAAAACTTTCCACTCTGCACAGCAGTGGTGAGCACAATGTGCTGTGATCCCATTGACCCGAGCTTGATTCTCAGGGCACAGCTAACATCAGTGGCGAGTTAAATCTCTCCTAACCAGAGCGGTAAAGTATGGGCAAACCCCATGACCGACACAGCACAGGGTTGAGGCACTCATCCAGCAGTCAACTGATAAAGGGCTTTAAATTATGATTACATCACTTTCTTTACGCCACATCGTGCATATCCCCTACCAATTACATTTACATTCATAATGACATTCATAATAATCCTGTGGTACTATTCCTCGCCCTGCGCACTGTCACCCACCACGCGATGTCAATCGCTCATCGAGCGTGGTCCCGAGATACGGCTGTACGTAGGCACGTTATGGCTGCGAACTGCACTGTGTGCACACAGGATGGGGAGACATATCGTTGGCATCAGCCCCCTTCGCCGATGTGGGATGAGGTCCCGTTGAGGGTCGTCATCCCTCGCCGATAAACGCAAGGCAGCTGTTTATGAGCCACACTTCGAGGCAGTTTCTCTAAACAGCTGTTACTAGTCTTGCGAAAGCTGGTGTGGCGACAAAGTGTCCCCATTGTGCAACGGCATGAAGGTAGGGTTTGGTGGGGATCAGACCGGGGTGCTACGATGGCAAGATGTTAACTACCTCGCTTGGTATACAGGAGGTCGTGTGTTCGATCCCGACCCTGACGCCTGAAAATTTGGAGTTTGCTTATTCACCCCGTGGTCACGTGGATTTTTCTCCGGGTCCTCCGGTTTTTCCCTCCACATTTAGAATCATGCGTTTAGAGTATTTGGCCGCTATAATTCTCCACACGATAAGCCACTTCGTTGAGCTATCATTTGTGGGCAGGTCGCTTCTGAAAAAGAGCTCTACAGCTCAGTGGGCCTTACCTGGTAAATAAAAAAACATTAGTTGACACCGAGATGGAAACGTGAATTAGACTAAAAAAGGTATGAAATTCCTGTGTATAAAGTAGGTCTAGAGCCTTGGAAGTTTTTCTAAGAATACAGGTGGGGTTTTTTGTTGTTGGTATGAGCATTTTTGCCACACAAGAAAACGTGGGTAAATTTAACTGGCCATTTGAACAAGTTACGTTTCACATTTTAAACGACACATGCTAACAATCACGTGTGGATATATGCGTGTAGAATATGTTTCCATTGTTCCAATGTTGCTCAATGCCGTCGTCATAAACAGGAAGTGGGCCAGGCATTCCAATGCAGAGCCATCCTAAAGATGAATCACTAAAACCAGTTAATAATTTTCTTATTTGTTTGTTCTTGATTAGATTTCAGTGAATATGGGCTGCACATTAAGTTATTTCTCATTTAATTAAACACACCTCCAGATGACTGATATTTACTTTATACATTTTAATTATCACTTCGATATTATAATGCTTGGAATATGTTCCCTATAAAGTAACAAAAAATCGGTCAGGGTCTCATAAAGCAAAACATAGGACCGTGCTCGTCATGTTGGTGACCCTAAGGCAAGGATAGACATTCCACGTTTCTATGGCAGGGGGCCATTTCTTCCATTGGGCAACTACTGTTGATTTACAATTAAGTGCTACTGAATTTATATACCCCAGAAGGATGATGATTTGCCAAGTTGACCCCTGACCAGGATGATCATTTACAACCTTTCAATCGCACGTTCAGGAGGTTTTGCCACAGTATCACAGGGCTGGCATTTAGTCTAAGACTAACGAAACGTTACAAATTATAACGTCTGCGGGCGCATTGCATCGGAACTGTAATTGCTAGACGTGCACTTAGTAACCTAAAGCTACCCGCGTTGCAAATGGGGCTTTTCTCATAATCGCAAATATTACATGAAGTGAGAACGACAAATAGTGCTGACAAGGCTGCGCGGGGGGCCCAGTGGAAACGCGCTCAGTAAGCCGGCACATTTCCTCGTAACTGATGACCGAATACGGAACCGAGTGAAACGCAGCCGCTCTCTGCTCCAGGAAATCGAAATCGCTCTTAATCACAGACCGGAATCTTTTAAGGGATAATGCTTTGCTATGAAGAAAAACAAAACACTTCCCTGTATAACAATAATAAGAGTAATAAATGTGGGTGTTATTTGCGAATGCAATAATGTTGCGAAGATTTTCATTTTATTCTAAGCTCTCGACTCACGAATGAAAGGTTGAAAGTTCAAATCCTACTCCAGGGTCAACTGAGCAGAGGTGTGGACTCGAGTCATGTGACTTGGACTCGAGTCAGACTCGAGTCATGAATTTGATGACTTGAGACTCGACTTGGACTTGCATAACAATGACTTTGTCCCACCTCTGAGGTGTGGACTCGAGTCATGTGACTTGGACTCGAGTCAGACTCGAGTCATGAATTTGATGACTTGAGACGACTTGGACTTGCATAACAATGACTTTGTCCCACCTCTGCAACTGAGCTCATCATCTGTGTGGTGGGTAACACGAGTACCACTTTGTGGGAGACTGACCATGATCGTCTATCGAAAGGACTGCTTGGTCCCTGCCATAGGAATGTAGAATTTCCACCACTGGCTCAAAATCAGTTGTGGCCATGAATGTGGTGAAAATTATGGCAAAGAGAGATCATGATGCTCCTGGAAATCGTAAAAGTTTAGTATTAAATATTTTTGTTTAAAATAAAGTAGATTTCTTTTAGCCTTTTTAGATTCACATAATATTCAAGTAAATAATCAACCTCATTGTGTGCAATTTTTTTTCGCCCAGCACCTTGACTGTAAATTTCACTTAAGGTGGACTGTGACACCATCGTAGCTTTAGGCACGAGCACTGCCCAGAACATGTCCCAACATTGAGGTGCTTTGTCTTATTTATTAACGCGAGTTCTCATTTAGGAATTTAACTGTAAGCGAACAGGCATCAAATACCGGGAAAGCGAATGCAGACCACGCCATTGTCTCAACATCCTCCCCAACCCTCTCCATGACAGCTGTGATGGACCAAAGCAGTCGCATTTCAAAACCCCCACCATGAACGACAAGGGTTTACAGAAAACCAACAGCTGCCTGTCAGAACCGGTGTTTACCAGTAGTTGTGAATCAAAACGTCAAAGTGTATCCTTTTACTCAATCAAAACACCTCTGTTGGAGGTTCGGAGTCCATGAATGGATATTCTAAATTCCTATCGCAGGGACCCATTTATTAACAGGACAACCTCTGCTGACACATCACACAAAGTGGCACTCTGCTTTATTTACCACTGGGGTTACCATTTGCTGAGTGAACCCCGACTGGGATTTAACTCACAGCATTCAGATTGTCAGTCAGCTGCTCTATCTAACCTGTCTATTACATCGTGCGCGGTGGACAGCCTGACACAGAATATTCCCTAAGCGAGCCGGTCAGCGCAATTTGGTTCCGCGCGTAATCGCCGTAAACCATCGGGACCAGCAACAGCATTACGGCTGACGACGTTTCCAGTCTGGTAGAGAACGGTGTCTCTCTGTCTCTCTCTCAAGGCCAATCGCCTCTTTTCTCCGCAAGACACTTTTTGAGCGGCATTTCATTTTCACCTCCTAAAGCGTGCCACGACACTGTTGAAAGGAGTGGGTGGAGAGGTGTCCCCCGCCCCCCCCCACGCCGCACTTTGTGAACGACACAAAAAAGCATGCCAACGCCTTCCCCGGCACCCCCCGACACTTTCTGGGTGCAGAGGCTTGAACTTGTGGGCGCGTTATTGCCGGATAATCAGACGCGCGGGGCACAAAAGCCAACGTTAACGGAGATTACATTTAACACGTAGGATTTCGCGACCAGTATTATTCATAATAACGGTTTTGGGGTTAGATCGCGTTATTTATAAATGTGTCGCAACCCTCCACGACCCGACACGGCCAATCAGTAAAAAATGCGTCACGTTAACAAAACGCCAATAAGTAACTTCTTCAGCCCACCGGTGTGTTTGAAAAGTGAATTCACAACATTCGAATTTGAGTACGACGTTTCGCTGGTAATTTTATCCACCATCTTCGGGAGATTTTCCAGAATAGCGAAGCCATCCACCTGATTCCGGTCTTAAATAGTGCAGGATGACGTCATCGTTGTTGAACCCCATCAGGTTTCGAGATCAGAGGTGGTGGGGGGGTATTGTAATTATATAATAGATTAGTAATCAGTTAATTAGTATGTGATTCCTCTATAAGGAATTGTAATATGTATTGTGTATTACTTAATAATACGCTTCCAGGCTGTGCTAATTCTGTAGGTATCAGAGCGGTTAAAATTATTTGTATTTTTCTCAATTTAGATGGATTCTCTAATTAACGGTGGGCTCAAGAAGTAACTAATTGGAGTTTTGTTAACGTGACACATTTTTTACTGATTGGCCGTGTCGGGTGGTGGAGGGTTGAGACATATTCATAATAACGAGAACGAACCCAAAAATCTTTTTTTGGAGATTACATTATTGAAATGAAATAAGGATGATCAGAATGTTTTAGTAACATCCACTTTGCACCCGAGAAAATGCTCTATGCTCGTGTCCCAAACGATAGT